TTAAGAAAATTAGGGCCAAAGCACAGCCTGGGAGAAAATATTTGCAAATCATCTATCTTACAAGGGATTTGTACTCAGAATATATAAACATTTTGTAAAACTCAACAGTAATAAAACATGCCATTTTAAACTGGACAAAAAACATAAGTACAGACTTCATCATATAAGATATACGCATTGCAAATAAGCACAGGAAATGATGCTCAACACTATTATCCATTAGGGAAATGCAAACTAAAACCACAATGAGACACCTCTACATACCAGCAAGAACGACTACAAATGAGCAGACAGGCAATACAGGTTTTGGTGAGGATACAGAATGTAGGACCCTTGTGCACAGCAAGTAAGAATGTAGGACTGTTTAGCCACCTTAGGAAACACTTTGGTTATTTAAATTAAACATGAAGAAAGAATAAATCCACTTTACAGAGATGTAAGACAATGCTATCAGATATCAAACCATTCCAAGCTATCAAGGACTATTAATATATTTTTGAATTTAATTCTAACTTCAACATGAAAAAAGAAGTTAAACATGAATTTACCATGCAATTCAGCAATTCCACCCCTAGCAATCTACCAAAGAGAAATGAAGGCATGTCCACAAGTTTTTCATAATAACATTTTTCATAAAAGCCCTAAACCGGAAAATAACCCAAATGTCCATCAACTGGCAAAGTTCACAAAATATGATATTCATAGAAAGCAGAGGAGTGCTAATATATGCAAAAATATTATGCAAGATGCAAAAATACAACACACCATATGATTCCATTTGTATGTGAAGTCCAGAAAAGATAAATTAATAAAGGCAGAAAACAAATTAATGATTGCCTAAGGCATGGAATTAGAGTGGGGATTAACTGTAAATGGGCACCAAGGAAATGTTAACAGAAATGTTCTCCAACTGGATTTGGTGAGATGGTTGTACAATGCTATAGTATGTAAATCACATTTTAATAAAGCTGTTGAAAACACATGGACTAGCTGAAATTTCTTGTTCTGATTTCTTCACAAGTTTTTGAGATTATTAAATCCAATGAGGAATACATTTAATTGATTATTCAACAATGTTCCCCAAACTTACCAGTCTTCTAGGCCCCATCTGAAGTTTAAAATCACATATTCTTGAACAGAAAGCCATATGGATCCATTAAACTCAAGTAGGAATCACAGTAGAAAGAAGCCCACATCCCGTATGTGTTGAAAAGTGACAGCAGTTTGAGATTCTGTTCTCTCCCTAGGGAAGACAGTCTGACCTTGCTTTAACCGTCTCCCAGGTCCTTTGTACACATTAGGGAACTGGACTAGATTCTCTTGGCTGCTTTTGGCCACTTTGACATCATCAGAAATGTCTTATTCATGAACCTTTACTACGTGACCTTCACTGTTTATTCAGTAAGTCAAGAAGTTTCTCCACTTCTCTGCATGAAGACAACAGTATAGGACATCATTTGGTTTTGGTTAAATGGCCTAGATCTGATTTTTATTCGCAGCTACTCAAGAGGTTCCCAAATGGAATCCCTTTCTCAGTGAATTCAATCCCTTTCTTTCAGGAGGGGACAGAGATGTCTGGCTGTGGAGAAACAGGTCCTGAATGCAGGTCAGATGGTTGTCTCCTGTCTTCCCAAGCTTCTGGGGCTTTGTCTGTCATCACCCTGATCACAATCCACCTCAAATGGCATCTGCGAGTTATTAGTTGTTTTTTTCTTTTCTTTTTTGGTACTGAGGATTGAACTCAGGGGCACTGGACCACTGAACCACATCCCCAGCCCTATTTTGTATTTTATTTGGAGACAGGGTCTCACTGAGTTGCTTAGCACCTCACTGTTGCTGAGCCTGGCTTTGAACTTGTGATCCTCCTGCCTCAGCCTCCTGAGCCACTGGAATTACAGGTGTGCGCCACTGCATGCTGTTATTGGTTTGGATGTTTTCTCCATTTCTGAACAAAGTCTGGTGCACAGATTCCAGGATGGCTGAAGTGAACTGATGAGCTATCTATCCATCAAGAAACACTTATGTAATGCCACCTAAGAAAGCCATGGCCAAAGTGGTGGACCTTTCTGCCCAGCTCTCCTGACCCACTGGAAATGAGTAACAGGAGAGGAGCAGATGGGAAGAAAGGAAACTTGGTATTACTCATCAGCTGTTCCAGGATGGACACAGATCCAGGCACTTTCAAACGTTTCCCTGAGTCCTTAAAACCACCTAATTCGCCCACCTTAGAGCTATGCAAAATGTAACTGGGGGTGGGGGGGTGCAGTGGGTGGGGACTATCCAAGTCACCGTGGGAATGTGCACAGTTCCCAACTCCCAGCCCTTCCATTGGTTCAGAAGCCTGAGTGCCCACAGCATGCAGATTGTGCTGGACCCTGGGAATACAAAACAGGTCTCATTTGGTCTCCATAAAACTTGAAGTCCTAGACATTATTCAGAGTCACAAAAACAAGTGTGTAATGGCAAACTCTGGCACACAGAAGCTCAGTATTCTATTAAGAAGACACACAGCTGTCCCCTCACCAGAACTCGGTTTTCTCTCGCCCTGCAGATGTCACCGTAGGCGTGAGTGGTAGAATTCATACACAATTTATGCGTATCTGTCACAATTTTGTGAACACTAGTTTAATGAATGAATGTTTCTGCTTCAATGAGAAAACGGCACAACAGAGTCAAAATGTGATTGAAGTTTTATTTCCCTATCTCAGTTTCAGTAAAAAGATTCAGAGAACTGATTGACACACAACTTTCACCTATATACAGTCTATACACACTGTTTATACCTTGTCCTTTTCTTTGAACAAGGTGACACTATCTTTGTTCAAACCAAAGTGCAAATGAAGAGATACTAAAAATGAAAAGGGGGGGCAGGTGGTCTTTGTATTCTCAGTCACTGTATAAGCACCACCAACCACAAGGGAGAAAGCATTGAGGAAACGTCGAATCCCACAGGTAAAAAAGTCAAGCAGTGAGTACAATGGACTACCTTCCCCAATGGCCACTTTGGAACACTGGCCACTGCTGTGAAAGAAGCTCCCAGCTTTCCATTTTTCCACCGCCACATCGCTACATTGGAATTTCAGCCTCTTCCCAGTGCAAATACAAAAATGACCAAAATCATGGTTTTATGGCAATCTTCTGCTAAAATATATAGTTTGAATATACATGCTATAAAAGTACACTACAAAGGTTAACCTTTAGAGCTCCGTTAAAATTTTAAGAATTTATCTTTTTACATAAAGAATAAAGTACACCCAAATCTAAAAGTTTATTTGAGAAAAGCTTTTACTGTGACCCCAAATGTTTCCAGCTTCACACTTTGTTTGTAATGATATTGATTTTGTAATACATGTATTTAGTGATGCTCTCATAATTCTGTCTTGCAATGCCTCATCAAGTACTTCAAATAAAAATGTGGAGGGCTTTGTGAATCTTCAAGGAGTTTTTACTTGTGTAAAGGTCAAATTTTCAACATAAATTCCTATCGCAAAATTTTCATTCTGTTTTCTAAACTGTTGTATCTCACATTTTTGATGATCAACATTTGGTGCTGTTAGTGGGGGAAATAAATGCAAGAGTACTGAAAATCAATATGTAGGTGGCCTGATTTTAAAGGTGATAATTCCCTCCTGTAATAACCCTTTCAGTGCCAATTCTAGTTTTCGTAGAGTGGTGTGACAGACACAATGCTCACTGAACACGTCCAGCAGTGGTGAATCAGCTAAGTGGACACCAGACCCAACCCTGAGGGTCTTGGTGCCAAGTGCTCTATCCTCTGCCATCCCTGTGGTATGCCATGAGGCTGACAGCGCGGGTCCACGTGTGGAACCCAGGCAGAGTTATAGTCTTTTAAATATAGCAGTAGCATGGACATATAAAATAATGGAATTTTTTTTTATCTAAACAAAAATATTTACTTTTCATTAGCAAAACATTCTTTAAAATAGATCTCTATCTCCCCTCTGAACATTTGACCAGGAGCACTGGGCTCTTTGTGCAGGTTTATTGCTGACAGTTCAATACATTAAATATGGTTGTAGGGAGCACACAATAGGAGCTTATTTGTGTCCACTGAAAAGAAACTTACTCTTTTTTGTTTGCTTACAGTGTCCAGTCCACCAAAGGAATGGTTTGGCATTCGTGTGCTTTTTGGTTTTGGTGGCAATCACTTCTACTTGATTTTCATTCTTATGAGAAAAAATAATCAGCTGATGTCCTTAGATTTTATGACATGATGAGAAAGAACAATGGGACAAAGGTTAGCCACCCCCAGGGAGTTGACGTGGGACTGAGTCTTCTTCCTTCTTCTTAGAAAAGTCTCTGAAGGGCTTCACTGGAGATCTGGAAGGAGGTACCCAAAACATAGGATCAGGGGCCCCCTCCTACGGGCCTTGCTCAGCTAAGCATCCCCTCCTCCGCTTTGGCTACCACACCACTCACTGCCCTGAGCACTGACCTTGCTGTGTGCCTACCACTACACACCTTAGCAAAATCAGTTCACAGGGAAACAAGAAAAAAGCGGAGAACTCGACCAAGAGGGGGCCCAGGCCACACAGCAAGGTCAGTGTTTTATAAGCTGCCTCCTGAACTATAGTCCCGTTGAGATCATCTGCAGAGGAGGATCCGAACACTGTGTTCTTCAGGCAGAAATCTCCTTTGTTTCTCTTGGAAAGTTTCTGTAAGGCTGTGTTTTTCCAAATAATTTTATCAGAAGTGGAGTGCTTTTTTTAAACACACAAATAATGGCAGAAATTTAATCCTCCCTCTATTGAAGTTTGAACCTACCTAAAAGCAGAATGCTTTCTCCTGGAAAATGATTACTTCTTTGAAAAGTGGAAAGTCAGGCTGGAGTGTCACTCAATCCTAGAGCACATGACTAGAATCTAGAATGTGCAAGGCCTGGTTCACTCCCCAGCAACAGAAAACCAAGCCAAAACAACCACCAAAAAAAGAAAGGGAAAAAAAAAAAAAAAAGAAAAGTAGACAATCATTTTCCCCCCATCAAACTCAGCCCTTCAGAAAATACTTCAGACTGAGAAGCAGAGCGGACTCCCTGGTGTGCCTTACAAACAATACTCTGTTAAAATCAAAGAGTAGCTCCAAGTGCAAAAGTGAACATTTGTGCAAAAGATCCCACTGCCAGGTGCAATCTTAAGATCGCCTCGATTTACTTATTTTATAGTGTTTGACTCTTTAAAATACAAGTCTTTTAAATTATGAAACCCAGCAAGTAAGGGGAAGGAAGTTAACATCAGAAAATACATCTTAGAAAAAGTACAGGATATTTTGCTGGCAATTTGCTACTTATTTCACAACTTAGATCAAGTAAGTGTTTGTTAAATATTCACAGTAATTTCAGAGAACCAACATTCATGTCTGTAAAATGTCAATCTATTGCATTTTCAACCATTTTTCTGTACAGTTACAAGATTTCATCTCTCAGTGCTTTTCTGCAGAATTCTTTCTTGTCAGTCCTCCCCTCTCTGGATCCAGCTATACTTTCAAGGTGGGCTGTAGGATTCCTTTCTCAATGAGATGAGTCTTCAGGGTTTTATATATATTTAACTGCTGTTCTGGTTGAAGCACCAACAACTGCTGAAGCACTTTGCTGGGATTTGGACCCCTAAAGATAAGGTAGAGAAGACAACATTCAGGTGATTTTAGTAGAGATAAGTGAAGCACATATCCATAATTTAAGATAATCCATTCCTCACAGTGTAGAGAGCAGTCTTTACAGAACTAAAACAGCTCTTGATTTCACTTTGATGTCTAAATGTCTGTGTCAAGGGGAGGAAAAAATAAAAACAAGGGGACTACAGATATTCAAGAGACAGAATCCAAAGTCCTGTGCACAGCACCAAAGTCCCTACTGAGAGCCTTAGTTCAAAGAAGTCTGAGGCAAACCCCAATGTAGCAAGCAAAATTAAAGTGTTACTTGCTGTATGGGAAAGGAGGTTGAGACGGAGGAGAGCCCCGCCCCCGTCACCTGGCCCACCACAGTCCTTGTGGGGAAGAAAGGAGCCAAGGAACTGCTGTCACCACACAGAGCCCTGCTCTGTCACATGCATACACAGCCAGTGCAGCATTCCCTTCTCAAGGGGCTCCCTTTGGGTAAACTCCTCTGAGGTCCTGGTCCCAGCTCTTCTGTTAGTCTCTTCTGTGGAGCACTTGGGGTGAGATGAGTTCAGGGGAGAACTCTGACCTCATGACCTTCCTGGGACACTACTGTGGTCATGGGATTGAGATCTGCGGCTGCTGGGACACTAGAATTCAATCCATTTATAAACTAAAGATCTTAAAACACTAGTCTGTCGGGAACGAGTCTAATTCAAGTCTTAATATGTATTGTTTTTTTTTTTTTTTTTGCACCTCTCACTATCCATTTGAAATAGAGAATATAGCTTACTTTTTGTGGACAGTTATAAGGAAAGTCAAATTAGAAAAAGCAAGACTAAGATGGGGAATGGCACCGAGTTTTGAGAAAGACATTTGCATGGGTAAGTAAATTTGTATTTTACAATAAGAATTGTTTAAATAGAGTTAAAGGAAGTAAAAATCCCAGGAAGAAAAAAATATCTGCTATACAGTAGTACTGCAAGGAGGATGAGTAGAGGAAATCTTAGTCTAGAAATCTTTGATTTAAAAAAGTGCACAACAATCCAGATCAGCCATCCCATGGGTCACCTTCTTGCATGTGGCTCAGTTCATCTGCCAAAGAACTGTGGCCAAATACCTCTCATAGCCAGGCTACTCAAGTCAAGACATAGCTTGGCTTATTATATTTCTTCAAAAGATTTAGTACCTGCATAGTACACACCCAGATTCGGTGCCCACAGGGAGAAGGCAGGCTATTTTATTTCAGTGAGTTCAGCTAAATGCTAAATCCCGCCTGCAGGTGCTCCCATCCAGTTGCACCCTGGCACCATTTATGCATTTCTAATTGTCTAAATATTTGCTTTCAGATGGTGGACAACAGGGCTCAGCGTGACTTCTCTCTACTAAAAGAAGAGCAAATTTTTCTTAAAGAATACGAGTTATAAAGTTATAAAGCTGCCACCTTCTGAAAATGAAGAAGTCTAAGGATTTTACCACTAATGACTAATATTCAAATATACTAGCAAATAGATATCATATAAATAGGCTAAATATTCCAATTAAAAAGACAAAGATTGTCAACTGGGTTACAAAAAAAATACATTAATTAAAAACCACAAAACAGACACAAACAAAAAATTCAGCCACAAATTAGGAAGAGAAAAACACCACTAAAAAGAAGGATAAAAGAATGCTAAGCATAAAGGGATAAACAAAGAAATACCATGCAAACTCGACAAAAGGAAAGCTGCTCTGGCCATCCTGAGAGCCAACAAATAGGTAGTTAAGGCAAATAGTAAAAATGGGCATTACATAATGAGACAGGATCCATTCAATCCTAAATATGACAATCCTAAATTTGTATATACACAATGCAAGCTCAAAATACATAATGCAAAAATTGACAGAACTAGAAAGAGGATAAACTTTTAATCACAGCAGATTTTAATAAAGCTCTGTTAGGAACTAATAGAATAATCTGCTCAAAAAAAAAAAAAGACTTTATTAAACTTCACCTAACATACAAAAAAAACATCTAAAACCTGCAAAACTCACATCTGTTTCATGTATGAATAGAATACATATCAGAGTAGATGAAATACTATATGGCCATAAAGCAAGTTTCAAAAAATAAACACTGAAATCATCAAGAATTTGTTTTCTGACCACCGTGGAATTAAAGCAGACATCAATAAAGGAATGAGAAAATGCTCATTTGTTTGGAAACCAACCAATTTACTTCTAAATAATCATGTGTCAAAGAAGATATTAATACTAAAAAACAGAAAATATTTATAACTGAATATTGAAAATACTTGTATAAGGGGGAGAAAGAAAAGGAAGCTTACAGTCTTAGATGGCTATATTAGACCAGATGCCTAAAAATTGATAAGTAAGGCTTTACCTCAAGAAGCTGGAAAAGAACAGCAATGAACCTTAAAAAAAGGTAAAGGAATGAAAAATGAAACTGCCAAAGCCATAAGTTGATTCTTTGAAAGAGTAATGAAATTGCTAAAATTAAATTATTAAATTAAAATTATTTCCCTTAGCATGATATTCTCCAGCTCCATCCATTTACTGGCAAATGCCATAATTTCATTTTTCCTTAAGGCTGAGTAATATTCCATTGTGTATGTATACCACATTTTCTTTATCCATTCATCTGTTGAAGAGCACCTGGCTAATTCCAAAGAATCTAAGGCCGAATTTTTTCTATGATATGCGGAAACTAATTCTCAATAAGTGGTGGGGGGTGGGGGGCACTAGGAAAGAACAGAGGTACTTTGTATTAGACAGAGGGGAGTGAAGGGAGGGGAGGGGGAATGAGGGTAGGAAGGATTATATAATGAACTGACATTATGACCCTATATGCATGTATGATTACATGACCAGTGTAATCCTATATCATATACAACCAGAAGAATGAGAAGGTATACTCCATTTATGTATGATGTGTCAAAACACATTCTATTATCATGTATAACTAATTGGAAATTTTTAAAATGCTAAAAAAAAATCCTAGTAAGGCTACAACACCCCCCACCCACTCATACACCCCCACCACAAAAGAAAAAGAAAGTTAATACAAAAGTTCTTACAATGGGTAAGAAGAATATATTTGTATATATTTAAAATATGTATTCAGGGATCTCTATGAGTTTTCCACTAAACAATTCTGTGAAGGACGTCCATATTATCTATAACTCAGGTGCTATGAGTAAGTGTTCTGCCTCCTGGGAACCCAGTTGAGACCACAAAAAATAAAGTAAATATGTGATTGACGTGGTTAGCCTTCATACACCAAACTGGCACTATAGGACTGATTTAAATCATTATGGTTTAATAACAAAAATAAAAAATAGCAACACCCATCCAGGACACACACAACTATTTTGTTTTTTCCATGGTACTTACAACATCTAACAAGCTATATTTATTATTGTCCATCTCTGACCCTTCTCTCTCCAACCTCCCAACAAAAATCTCTGAGAGCAGTGACTTGGTTTGATTTTTTCCTCTGCTATATCCATGCTAGAATATTCTACAACACATAACAGACACTCAAGTAATAATCAGTGGCCTGAATGAATTATGTTCTCTTTCTTTTTAACTCTTGGTATTTACACTCATTGTAATGCCCAGTTGAGAAATTAAATCTCCTGATGTTCCAAATTCAGTACCAATCACATTAACTGGATCTTTAACTTAGTCCTGTGAAGGACCCCAGCATCTATTTTTGTTTTAGCTGCTCAAATATATGTAAAACATGACAATTTAAGCACACTCCTCAGAGTTACAGCTTTAGAGGCCACTTTGATATGATAGATTATCAGTGACAGAAAAAGTTAACTTATTCAAACTAATGTACTGTTCATGGAAATGAAAACTCAAAATAATCATGTAATGAAAAGTTTAAAATGTAAAATACCTTATAAAACTCGTGATGTACACATGCACAAAAGTGGCCATCAAATACTGACAATCAAATCTGTCCATTATCCCACCGTGTCCAGGAATGGTATTTGCAAAATCCTTTAGAAACAAACAAATACATTAACAAATTTGAAAAAAAAACTATAAAATTCTTATCTCTAAGTGTCTTTCTGGCACCATGGACTCTATAAAGAAAATACTATTAAATTTTCTCACTAATTACAAATTTATTATATCACTTCCAACAGATTAAAACTATATCTTTCAAATACGTGCTCAATTTAGAATAATTACTGAATTGACCCAAAGCATCAAAATAACACTGATTAATCATTAATTAAATCTAGCATTAACTTCTTTTCATTGAAGAAAATTTTCTAAATATTATATCAGCTATTACTAATCTAATTTCCTTCTGTTTAGCCAGAAGTGATTTGTGAAATATTTTAATGTGGTTGACAGATGTACAACTGGTTCTAACTCATGTTTATTCTAATAGTTCTTATTCTGAAATAAACATTTTATTTCTATGATAAATATTTCTTCTTCTTTTTTAGTGTTGAGGTAAAAAGAAAATCAAAGCAGCTAGCTCATTTGGGACACGTTAGTTAGTCCATTAAGTGGCCAAATTGAGAGGATGAGTAATAAGCCTTTGCAAACTGACTTGTCTAAGCACCCAAGAAATGGAAATACCCAATTGCTCTAGCTCACTCAAGTAACCTAAAAACATACAAATGCCAACCATAATCATACCTTCATTTCAGACATGCAAAAAATATTTTGCCATTTAATGAGAACTCTTGGACTAGAGACCATTAAAACAAATACCATATTAACTATAAAATTTCTCTGTTTAAAACAATTACTGAAGAACTCTTTGGTTAATTTTTGCCTATCTACTTCCTTCCTTCTCTTCCCTACCAAGTGAAGCATAAGAGAACCACAGCAACTCAATACTACTCTGCAGATGGTTAGAAACCTTTGCAAGGTACTCATCCTGTGTGGCTGCCTTAGATTTCTCTGCAGGATTTATTCTCCTTCTCTTCTCAGATGCCACCTCTCAGAGAGGCCTTCCATGGCCATCCCACCTTCAAAACCTATTCCCTAACCCTTCACGGCATACATTTCCACCTTAACTTAGTGAAACCACATGAGGGAGACTGAGATAACATCACTTCCCTGATGCTCTATCTTAACCAAACAAAACATAGGGTGATTTCAAGTATCAGGAGCAGGGTCAGCAAACTAGGTTGCACAGACCAAATTCAGCCCACACCTGTTTTGTAAAGTTTTAGTAAAACCCAGCCACAGTCATTCATGGAAACATTGTCTATGGGGTAGGGGTGTTCACGCTGCAATAGCAGAGCTCAGAGCTGAGCATCTGTAATAGGACAGATGGTTTGCAAAATGTAAAACAACTCATTATTTGCACTTCCCCATAAAGAATGTGATGACTTCTAATTTAGCACAATGATAGTTACATATCCAACAGCTCTTCTGCATATTCTGTCAAGTGAGGTTGGCAAAACCCTAAACTTTGGACAATTGATGGCTAGATTTTTGGATGAACACTCGAAAGGATAACATTCTGTGTTTATACCAACATTAAAGGAACATGATATTTCTATAAGAGGCTGACATGATACTTAAAAATATACTAGGAAGGTATGGCCAAAGCCTAACAAAAAGAACACACTCTAACCAGCCAGACAGCATTTTTGAGAAGTTAAAACAAATTAGAGGAATAGTTTTTGCCTAAGGTCTTAATGTAGACCTACAGGAGATCAAATTCTAACCAAAGATATATTCTCTAATTATGTTCACTAACAACAAAGAATCTAAATACATACCTTAATTTTGAAAGCTCTTTTGAACCCACTGGCAAAGAAGCCTCCAAATGGGCCAATTAGAGATGCAAATGTTGAAAGAGCAATGCTGTGTATCTGGAAAGGATATAAACTCACTGTTTCCTAAAGAGGAAAAAAAAAAAAAAGGGAGAGGGAAGGCAATATTGGGAATATCTGCATTAAAACTGTATTTGAGAATAACACCTAATCTAGGAACCATGACATAAACACTAATTCAAAGCATATGCCATATTTTTGTTAACTTTTTACAATCTTCACAGATCACAGAAGAAAAACATTGTAAGCTCTCTGTCATCTACTGAGTCAGCGCCTCTGTTTTCTCGGCAGCATACTGCCAAGCACCTGCACACTAAATCCTGCTACTGGTGCAATACCTTCTGTTTCATCCAAGAACAGTGGCAACAATTGGGTTGTAGGGCATACAGCTTCATTAATCTTTACCTCTGTTTTGTTTTGTCACCAGTAATACTTTATTTTTTTTGTTATATAATTTAATTTTGTACTTTATTTCACTTAAATTTCTTATGATGAAATAAGGGGAAAATTGGCTCTTTCTCTTGAAACTAATATAATGCAATGGAAACACAAAAATAAGAACTGCCAAAATGAGCTTCAGCAAGACAGTTACAATTACAAAAGATTTAGGGAAAAGATAATAAAAAGAGAATCCTGCAGTCAAATTATTTTCTGAACTCATAGCTTTTGCTTCCCTAAGTACAATTATATAGAAAATAATAACGTGTGTAGTATGAGAAAGGTGTTTGATAACATGACCTTTTGGACCTGTACTCAAAGCAACGGTCTTACCTGGGACCAAAGATTGACAGCATTAAATGCTTTTACAGCAGGTAACAGGAGGTTTGGACACTGAAAAAATTCTTGGTATTCATGTATTGAGCGGTCAAGAAATAATTTGTTGTTTAATCTACTACTAACAAATTATGGATTTTAGTTAAAAACAAAGTGATTCAGAGACACACACATGCACATGTGCACACACCCATCACTTGAGCCCCCATTTTAGCCAAACATACATGAATCCTGATAAGAGACCAGGTGGGCTCTCCTGGACAGCATATCAACATCCTTCCATGTGACACCTCAAAAATGCTTTAAATGGTAGCAATGTGCTCTTGGAAGGAAAATTCATTTTTTTAGGAGAAGCTTTCTGTAGTAATAAATGTCCTCTAAAAATCAAGGGCTCTTTTGAATGATGAATTTTAAATGAGTTTTAAATTGAGTTAATTCATATAAGTAACATGTAAAACTCTTTCTAATTCATTGGGCTTTATAAAAATCTATCAAATATTTTTAAATATTTTTAAAATACACACAAAATAATTACCATCAGTAATGAAATCATAAGGCAAATACATTCCTAGTATACAATTTGCAATATTAACTCATTTTATGTTTATAAAAATCACAAGAGAATAGAGTATATTATTGATTATAATCAGACATAAAAAGCACTTCAATATGACAAAGTTAAAAATTATGCATAAAATCTAAATCTCACTTTTATTTATTTATTTTTTAAATTTTTGTGGTGCTGGGGATTGAATCCAGGGCCTTGTTTGTGCATGTGTAGCAAGCACTCTACCAACTGAGCTATATACCCAACCCTAAATCTCACTTTTAGAGGAAGCTTACTTTTTGAAAGAAAAGATTCCTAACCAGGTGATATTGACCTTTTACTCTTACCTGTCTCAATACTGCCTGTAGGAAGGGAGGAAGTGAGTAACTCTGAAGCTGGAAAAGTTCTGTGGGCTCACATTCTGTGACAAAGGAGTTGATGTCGCTTCGGTATTCCACTGGGCACACAAAGTACTGGTATTTTGACAATACATAGGCAGCCTGAATAACAAAGAACTCATGAAACACTGCCTAAATATAGATATACAGATACAGATACACACAAAATGCCAGAATTTCTCTGTATTAACTTTCTGCTATGTTGTTGTTGTTGTTGTTTAGCAGAGCTGGGAATCAAACTCAGAACATGGCAGGTGCTAGGCAAGTGTTCTACCACTGACATATATACCTAACCCCTCTGCTATATATTTTTAAAGTTTGAAGGTCATAATTTTCCCAGCAAAAGTCTTGGAAGACCTTTATAAAACAAAACAGTTTCTCAAAGCAATGAGGTCTCTGTACAACCACACAAAGCGTGAGGGTGTGACAGGAAGGGATAAGGTAGGGTAGCAAGGAAGAAAAAGAGAAGCTGATTTGAACACTCAGAAAAGCAATATAGAAAAATCTTACTTTTTAAAAATACAGATATTTAATCATAGGAGCTAAAAAGATATAAAGGACTGAATTTTAAGGATATAGGAAGAGTAAAGGACTGTTGTTTGTTGTACACAGCTTATATTAATTTTATCAACTAATAATTAACCAGTAATTCAAAATTACAAAGAAAACTGTACCAAATAATATGGTGAAAAGTCTCGTTGTTCTTCACCAACCCAGAAAACTCTGACTTAATTGTTCTTTTCCCTGGCCACATCACCGCAGTTTTTTAAATTAGTTGTCCTTAGCTATGGAAGTGGAAGATGCATGAAATAAAATATTCTATTATAAATTTTAATTGCTAGATAACAGTTTATTCTCTTTTTCATTTCTCTTACAGCCACTTGCCCCATTATATTATTTAAGAATGGTTTAAGAAATTCAAATATGATACTAGAAACAGATCAAATTGATTTTGCTTCCAGTTTCCTCAAAACCATTTGGTTAAAAATTTATATGTAATTTCATTAACCATTATTTTGTCATATATTACATTCTTGTGGAGCATCTTTATTTTCTTCCAATGATATGAGCTATTCCTATTGTCTAATTTTAATAATACCAAATTCTAATAGTATTACCTCAAGTTTTGATTATTCTTGCTTTTTGATAAACACTAAATGGGATTGGATATTTTTTCATTATTACATTTATCAATTGTTACCTCATCAATATAATATATCAAAAACTTTATAATAATTTTATTAGCATATTTTTAAAATTTTGAGACATGATCTTACTAAGTTGCTGAGGCCGGCCTTGAACTTGTAATGTTCCTGACTCAGCCTCCCAAGCAGCTACTACACCCAGCTTCTATGGGAATTTTCACTGAAAATAAACTAAACTTAGAAATTAAACAGATGAATTATGGTGGTTTTCCCATCCAGGATAATGGCATATTTCCATTTATTTGTATATTTACTCTTTCTTGAAGTTTCATGTTGTTATTAGTTACTTCATATCTGGATCTCCAATATTTTATATTAATGACAACTATCAGGGACTAGACTCTTAAAAATTTGAACTTCCTAACAAGAACCTTTTGTACATTTATTTTGTATCTAGTCATTTTATTGTACCCTTATTATTTCTCACTAGTCATCTTTTAATGAGAACACCATAATCATAAACTTAATTTTTAAACATGAAAAATACCCATTATTCATGGCTAAAAGTTAATATTAATTATTCATAATTAAGGTATTTTTTTCTGCAACTTAGGCTTACAGCAGGAACCACCCACTGAGCCAACTGACCAGCATGTGTTAAGACAGAGCTCTTCAACATCATTTGCATTCACTGCTATTACTCAAAGATACTGCCTATCCCAGCACCTCTATCCCCACGTCAAGCAGAACAGCTATTAGAGACTACCCAAACACAATAGGACAATTGTGGACCTTATATCTGGCTAAACACAGGACCACCTTGTGGAAGTTAATCATTCTGGGATAAGTCTGAGACATAAGTCTTGTGTTGGGAAATAGATTTTGTTTAAGGTCCCCAGGGGGTTCTGATATGCAGCCAGGATGACAGCTACTAGGGTACAGTACTGATTCTGTTTAGTAGGTTTCAATAAGTACATTATTAACATTTAGTGGTTTAATTTTTTAGGTTTAAAATAGACTAATAAACTCAGCACAGTTTTTCAAAATAAATAAAATAAAAAATCCTAGTAAAACTCACAATGAATCCAAACACGACTGTAGAAAAGAAACCGCCAATGAATCCTTCCCATGTCTTTTTAGGAGACAACTAAAAAAGGCCAAATAAAATTTAAAAGTTACTGCATCACAAAATACAGACTCTGTTCAAGGCTCTCCTCAATACTGTGCACATCTGTACCTTCCTTTTTTCTTAATGGAAATAGTCTTAACTCTTTTTCCTTCTTTCTATGATCCTGATTTACTTGTGCAAATGTTTTGACTAGCATCTAACACATAGTAGGCCCTCAAACGTGTGTAGCATGCTGTGAATATCTGTTTCTGTTAAAAAGCCTCAAATTAATTTTTTTCCCTCACAAAGAACTATAAACTCCATATTGAAATAGTCATCCCATGACTTTTACGCTTCTTTTGGAATAAGAATGACACATATTCATTCCAAGTACACACTTGGTCAGATGTGTTGACCTGCTACTGGCCAAAACAGAATTGAGTACAATAAAACAATGACATTGCAGCATACCAGATTTTCATATATTTCTAAAATGCAATATCCACAACAGATTTCTTTCTGAGATAGTAAAATAATCCATGGCCCCAAATACTGTATTCACTTCCCCAAGTATTCACATATCCTCCTCCCTTTTTTCACAATCTATCTCCAGAAAGAAAGGAATATGTTGTCTATTGTTTTCCTAGTCAGTGGGGCATTCAGGGAGAGAAATTTGGAGGAAAGACTGGAATTCGTTGTTGCAGAGGCAGGAGAAACACACTGAGGAGTGGATGCTGTTATACTGCCCCAAGATGTTGATAACCACCACATGTGTGCAGGGATTGATCATCAAGAGATCACTGGTGGTCTTTGTGATGATCACTTATTTAGAACAACAAGAACAGAAGCCAAATATCAAAGGGAAATTTCTGAGGACAGAAACAGGTTACAGGCTAAAGCTACCTGAGCTCTTTACAGATTTCTTATCCTGTTGTTCAAAAAGGGCAATATGAAAAATGGTTGGCAGAAATGGTTTCATAACAAATCTGGAAAGAATTCTGCCTTAGAAAAGGGATGGATATAGCTTCTCTTAGATTCAGTACCTGTGTTATTGCCATTAAGTAGGAGTGGCCTCAAATTCAAAAGTGTCTAATTAGTTTAAATATAGCTTATCAAATCAAGTTGAACTCATATCATGTCAATTTAAAGGTCAGTTGCTCAATGACCGAGGATACCTTATACTGCTAATCCATTCTGACAAAATTATGTTTCAAATTGGTTACCGAGGGCTGGGGTTGTAGCTCAGTGGTAGAGGGCTTGCCTAGCACATGCGAGGCACTGAGTTAGATCCTCAGCACCACATAAAAATAAATAAATAAAAATAAAAGAATTGTGTGCATCTACTTCTAAAAAAATTAAAAAGATATCATTAATTTTTTTAAAAATTGGATACTGAGATTCCTCTATGGCTCTAACAGTCTTTCTGAAGGCTTCCTAAGCCAAAACTAGCCTATATAGACATCTTGAATACTTACACTTATTCTTATGCTGCAGTAGCTTTAGGGACATTTGAAAGATACATACGTTACTTGGCCATATCCCTATGGCTCAGCCTAATGCTGTGACTATACTCCTATAGTGGGTACAGTCTACACAAGGTTTTCTGATGGTTATTTCTCCAGAAACACTTTGGCTACCCTATCTCCCTCTGATTTTATATCTGAACAATGGTTTCAGGCCCTCCCAAACTGCCCTCTAATAAAGTAGCCAAGTAATGTATTTATGGGACTATGAATGAATGCTTTGCCCAAATTGTCAACTGAGTGAATTCTATCTGAAACCCTGACATGAAAAGCTTTTTTTAAAAATAAAGAAATCAGTTTAAGAAAATGGTTTCATTTCCATGAAATATTGGTTTGTTTCCTTCTTCCCCAAAATAAGAACTAGAGAATTTAATTCATTTCTTTCTTTGCCTCCATTACCCATAAACAGATCCAAATCTAAGGCAAAACAACATGGTCTGTTCCTGTGTATTTTCCTTTCTCTTGTCTTAAGCTTTTATTATTACTTGCATTGTGTCAGTACTTTATTATAGAGCCCCAAATCCTTTTGTGAAATGCATTTGGATGTAAAAAAAACTTACAAATGGGCAAGAGCATATGAAGATGGTGCTTTAGGAAGTCTGGTAAAAGAGACAACATGGGGAGACAACCTGGGGAGAGGGCTAAAGAACTGCACCAACGACTGATGAGAAAAACGAGCAGAAATGAGATACAGAGAAAACATGATGGAGTCCAGTCCTTACTCAGGAGTCAAATGGGTAGCTGGTGAAGAACCCAGAAGGAATTAGTGGGAAATATGGCTCCGCTGCAGCTGCTAGGTGCAGCTAAGGAAAGTCAGGGTACCTCAGAAATCAAAACTTGTGTAACAATATCATGATGCTGGAAACGGTTTCCATGGGCTAATATTTAAGGAGAGTTTAGGAATGGCTTGCTTATATCATTTTTCTATTACCTTAATTAAAGGAGTTCTTCCAAAAAAAAATCCAAAAAGGTAAGCAGTAATGTCATTGCAGATAACACTTGATATTGGAACAAGGAACCTTTAAAGAAAAAAAGTCAGCAGAAAAAAGTCCTTATGATTAAATAGCAAATATTCATGTAAGTTATGACTCATAATGAACCAATGTAATAACGCTTTGGATTACACTGTGGCCTAGTCCAGAACATAATATTTAACAAAAACATTATTAGTATAAGCAGTAAATATCAACTAAATTTGCTAATTTAGCAATTAAGCAGAGCAAAAATCTGTAAATAAATTAACATAGTAAGAGAATCTTGCTAACAAAAATATTACATAATCAATTTCTACAGCTAGGGACAGTTAAATTTTAGTTTTATGAGGAACAAGTTATAAAAAATAAAATTTCTTTTAAGAAAAGCAGTCTTTTAAAATGGAAATGAGTCACTTGTTTAGATAGAGTACAATCTGCTTAATTTATACCAAGCCCTTAATGCAAATTCTCTTCAGGAACAATTATTAATTTTAATTCTTTTTATCTTAGACTGTAATCACAGTAAACCCTACTAAATGGAAAGAATCTTTATACTTCAGTAACTGTCCCCCAGCAAAAGGTTTATATGACCATTTTAAAATAAATGATTTCAAGTGTCTGTAACACACATGTGCACATACAAATCTTGGTTTAAAAAAAAAAAAAAAGCATGATGCTCAAAAGGGTGTAAAATTTATTTTAAAAAACCTCAACAACTATAAAAGATTTTAATTAATGGGTTTTAAATAAATAGGTTTAAGACAAAATTTCTTTATTCCAACTAATTTTTAGTTAATAAAAACACTTTCCAAATCTACAAGCCACTGCTATGAAGCTAGCAATGCCATTCATCTAGAATCTGGAAACCTACTTCCACATAAAAGCAAATGAAAACCTTCCCAGCTTCACTTCCACCCAGAGAACATGCATTTCCAGCACACTGTGCTGACAGGCAAACTTCCATATTCTTTTTGCATTCCATGTAAATAATAAACTGTCAAAAATCTAGGAAAGGTAGCAGAATACAACAGTCAATATATGGCATTATGTAAAAACGTGGATGTGTAACCGATGTGATTCTGCAAATTGTATTTGGGGTAAAAATGGGAGTTCATAACCCACGTGAATCAAATGTATGAAAGATGATATGTCATGAGCTTTGTAATGTTTTGAACAACCAATAAAAAAATAATAATAAATAAAAAAATCTATCGTATGTAAAAGGTCACATTATAGTCTATTTGCATCTGAAAATGTAATTTGGAAGGGCTTTCTGCATTTTATTTAGAATTTTAAAAAACATTTTCACTTTATCTTCAACTGACAAATAGTAAGCAATGCTCAGTAATTTTTAATGGAACAGTAAAACAAGAGATAGAACATTTTAGTAGACATCTGCAAAACACTGCTTAATGTTAAAGAGTTTCAAAAGGGCTAGACATAAACATAACACAGCATAATACTGTGCCCTTACCATATCATGCCTTCAAACAGATTTTGGATGACAAGATGTGACTGAGTAACGGTTATCAGTAAAGTGACATGTGTCCATGCGAACTGTTAATAGCCCAACGACACAAAAATTAGTAAACACAAGTGATCAGTGCAGCCAAGGAAGCAAGAGAAATTCTGAAACACAAATTTCTGCCATGAATTTTGGTCAAAATTTGTAAGATAAGGTCATACAAAATAAATGCAGTTAGTAAGTGATGTTCATTATATTGCCTACTAGAATCTTAAAGTGATGAAAACACTTAAAGGTAATTTTAGTTTTATACAAATTGGAATGCCAGTAACAGTGAGATATACTACTAAATTTAAAAATACACATAAAAAATAAATCATAATCTAGAGTTACATGATTTAAATAATGAGAAATATACAACATTTAAATGGCAGTGTTCTATGGTGATGAAAATTTTAGCAACCATTTTCCCTGCAGTTTATCATTCAAACTTTGAATTATTCTAACCAGAAAGATTCAAGAGCCCTTAAATTCCATCTTTTGAGACTTGAAAGTTGATCTTCACAGGTCTATTCAATGGCAGTATTTAATTTCAAATTTTCAAAAGCCTCTATGTTTTATCCTTCTGGCCTGAGAGATGGCTATATGGATGACTTTTGGCACAATCATTATGAGTAGAATATGAACCAAGAGAGGCTAACATTTCTATGTACCATAAACATTGTCATTTTAACTGGACTTTATGATTTTTTAAAATAATTGAAATTCTGATTTATTTTTAACAAACCCAGTTCTCATCTTAGAAAACAGTATTTTATATTTGTTATTTTGCTTTATTCTATCTTTATCTGCTTAAAAGACCCAATTCTTTTATACTAGTTTCTCTGAAATGCATAACTGATTGATTTTTTTTTTCAGTAGACACCATTTACACAGTGGTCTCTCCATACTCATGTCTTCCATCTGTGGTTCAACCAATCACAGACTGAAAATAGTTGGTGGGAAAAAAACTGCATCTGTACTGGACACATACAAACTTATTTATCTTGTCATTATTACCTAAATAATGGACTACAACAACTATTTATATTGTGTTGGGTATTCTATGTAATCTGGAGGCTATTTAAAGCATTTGGGACGAGGAGTATAGGTTCTATGAGATGCCATTTTATATAAGGCCCTTGAGCATCTGTGGATTTTGGTATCCTGGAGGTCTTAGAACCAATTCCCTGAGGATACCAAGGGAGAACTGTTTTTCACAGGAGATTCTATTATTTCTAATTTGTCTTGATTCTTTGCAGATTTTCACTAAGAATTTTACTCCTCAGATCCCCTGAAATTAGAAAGGTAAGAAATACTACAATTTCTTAGCAACAATAATTAGCACAGTATGTTGATGAAGAAAAGCAAAACACAAAAATGAAATATAATTCACACCTAAAATGAGCCTTACTAATACATGAATTCACACATCTAAACACTACATTGTATTTTAATGTTATAAATGGCTATATTTTAAGGAAATAAAAACAAATTCATCATGTAAAGTGACAAATTTCATAAAACAGACTTTGATTCACTGAACAAATAACTTATGTCAAATAGAATTCTACAATTCTATCATTAACTATAACTACCAAGAAAATACATGCTCTGCTCTTTTTATGCTCACATTAACAGCAAGAAAACAAAGATAATTTCCACAAAACAATACAGTAGATGCTTCTCAGACTTAGCAACTATCCAAGAGTCTATGAAAACTTTCCATAGTTCTACATATTTAGGGAATTCAAATACTTTGTTAAATTTCAGTCTTTGAAAATATTTAGAAAAAGCTTTTAGTAAATTTTGAGAATAGTTAAAAACTTTAATTCCTCAAATACCTGTCAATTTCATTTTTTAAGTTGAATAGTCATCCAAAATTGAAATATCTATGACATTCGAGCAAGACATCAACCAAAAGACTGTTATTTCCTCACTACAGAAAAAAGAGAGGTAAAGTTTTAAATTACACAGTGACTACAGAATAATGGTTAATACACACCATATAAAACTGCAGACGATAATGTTTCTTCACCAAGCTCAGTACAAACATGCAGAAACCTGTTCGAGAACAAAAAACATGTGCTTGCTGTACAATTTGGTACAAAGTATAAGATTCTCTGAGCCCAAATAAACCAATTTCCTACATCTCATCCAGGCATATCCTATGAACTTACTCATATGCCATTTTTCCTACTATCTTATATTAAGCATTTTAAATAAGTTTCCTGAGGAAAACAATCTTGTGATCTCCAAAGTGCCTAACATATTCCACAGCACAAATTCAATACACATCTTCTTTTGCATTAATTAAATAAACTACTCCCTTGCTAATATGTGGATATAAAAAACAATTGAATTTCAGTTAAGTAAAATTTATTTGCTATGTCAATTCATCAAGACTGGGCAGGGGGTGTAGCTCAGTGATAGAGATTTTGCCCAGCTTGTAAGAGGTACTGAGTTCCATCACAACAAAAAAGTCAATTCTTCAAGAATATGCACAGAATCTTTTCAATCTCTATACAATATGAAATTAATAATAACTATTATGGAAGCTAATATCTATTGAACACATTAGACTCTTGTATAAGTATTTTACACATATTAACTCATTTAATTCTTCCACTATTTCTATAATATAGATATTATTATCATTTTCATTTTATAGATCAAAAAATACACAAAAGGTTTTATTAATTTACTAAGGCTCACAGGGCTAAAGTAATTCTCAGATCCTACTGAGGCTCAAGACTCATATGGGTCCACAGAAACCCATGTTAGCAAGATTCAGGTGAAGAACCGTATTATAAAATTTAAAACTTAAAATTTCTCAGAACCGTATTATAATAGCTATAATAAAATATAGTACTTTTAATAATTTCAAGATTTCCAATAGTATTTGAATTTATATTTGTATTCCTAATTACAATGAAAACATAACTAAAAAATCCTTGCCTAATTAAGAGAATCTAATAATTAAATACTAAAATGAGAATATGAAGTACTTCTTAACCCATATGTCGGTAAGTTTCTAGAGATAGCTAAATATGCTTTTTAACAGAGGTGAGTACTGAGAAAAACATATAAACTCATAAATTCAGTCTGATTTCAGATGAACAGTCAGGTATTCTGCAACATCTTTGGAGTAGGTTCCCTGAGAGAGAAAATGAATAATCAACTGATCTCGTCAATATAAAATAAAACACTGTCCTTTGAAAATCCATATTCGCTTATCAAGGCAATACTACGCACTAGTGTAAGTGAGTGTGCTGCTGTTCTCAGAGGAGGAAAGGACCAAACCATGGGTAACTTGGATCAAGACTGAATTTAAATGTGTGAGTATGTAAGGGAGGGTGACAAAGGAAGCAGGTAGGTTCCTACCTCTTATTTGTCATCTACAGAGTCATTTAACTAAACTGCAACAGTAACAAATATTTTTTGAGTGGAAAAATAACAGAAAGCCATTATGCTATCTGAGAGACAAAGAATGCGGTGAGAGCTAAACCATGGAATTCATGGCATTGCAGTTGCCAGCTTATAAAAGACTCCTTCTAATATTGTTTTTCTTAAGTTTTTCTTCCATAGCAGGTAGATTTGTCAGGCAGCTCAAGTAATAATGTAATTTCTATACTGATTTATGCCAAATGATCCATGGCTAAAGTTGGATGTAGACTGGACTTGGTGCAAAGGCTGATGGGGAAAGGGAAAAGCAGAGACATGGGACGTGCTGCTGGAACCTCCTTTACTGTCCAACAGACACCCTAACTCTCCCAGGACAGCCCTGGGAGTTTCTCAATATCATCAAATGTGAATTATCTCCTCACAAATACAACTCTACAACATATGGCCTTTTTTACTCTTAAGCATTTCTTCCAACAAAATCACCAACAAAATCATTCAATATTTTCCTAATGGACACTTTACCTAAAACAGTCTTGGAAACTCACTCTTACTTGACCCAGGATATAATTAGTTGACTACTGTATACATGAAGATCATACACTTCTTTGATTTAAAATAAGGATGTATAAAGTTTCCGTAGCATATCTAAAGCTAAATATTACTTTAAAAAAAAAACATGCTTTTGCCGCTCCAACTCCCAAAAGAAATAGATATGGTGTATCTGCTCATTCTCACTGTGTATCAGTTGCCTGCTGGCCACCATCACTGAGGTTTTGAGGATGAGAAAGCTGAAAGTTGATCTATTTAACTGGTTCTAAAGGGAAAAAAGGAGGGAGGATGAGGAAGAATAGGTGTAGAGTTGGCTGCTTTCCAAGCTGCTCCATGGCATGAGTCAAGGAAAGTGGATAAATAGTTTCTCAGTGAGGTGGGTGAAAAGAGGGATTTTACTGGGATTTAATACTGGACTCTAAGAACAGTATTAATACACACACACACACACACACACACACACACACATACAACATACACACAATGGAATATTAGTCATAAAGAAGAAGAACTTTATGACATTAATCAGCAAATGGATGAATTTGGAGACTACTATGCTAAGTGAAATAAGCCAATTCCAAAAAAAATCAAAGGTCAAATGTTCTCTCTGATATGTGGATGCTAACACACAACAAGGGGTGTGGGAAGGAAGAACCGAAGTTCAGTGGAATAGATGAAAGGGAATGAAGGGAAGGGAGGGTGGACAGGAATAGGAAAGACAATGGAATGAATCTGATCTAACTTTCCTGTGTACATATGTGAATACACCAGTGTATTTCAACATTGTGCACACCCACAGGACTAGGATCTTAGTTAGAACAAGATATATTCCATGTTTGTATAAATATATCAAAATAGATTCTACTGTCATATATAACTAAAAAGAACAAATAAAATTTTTAAATGAATATATGAACTTCATAATTTTCATTTGTAACCATATGGCCATGTGAACATTTTATTTTAAATATAAAAAATGCCTATGTATGTTGCATTTCAATAAATCTATGGAAAGAATATTTTATACATTTAGGTCCAGTCTTATTTTTTCCCTAATTAGCAAAGGATATTTATATGGCTGTTTTTCCAATTAAAATTACAGATCTTATTTAAAAAGTGTTCATTGGAAGGGCTTCCTGATATATAGTTCTGAATGCATAATCATGTTTAACTACACTTACTGATCATCACTCATGAACACAATACTGTGCCTGGTATTGTCTGCAACAATCTATTGTGTACATCCTATTGCCCAGTATCAAGGATTTCCTCAGGTGGTTATGGAAGAGCCAATTGTCTAATAGACTACAGAGAAGTGTATTCAAAGGACAACAAAAGAGAATGAGATTTATTAAGAAAGTGGGCAGAAAAAATGAAGCACTGAGAAGTCCAAAAGATGAGGCTGAGGAAATTTCAGAAAAATAGACAAACAATAAAAAAAAAATTACTGAGGATTTATGATATGCCAGACACAGATATAAATAAATAAATAAATAAGATAGGTATTAGTATTCAAGAGTTCAAAGTCTAGTTGAAAAGACAAAAATACCAAGAAAAAATAAAGTTTTTTTTTTTTTTTTTAATAGCCATTAAGATGAACCCAGGTATGAATAGTGGAGCTCACTAACTCTTCCCTCATTTTTTACTTGGCTACATTTTTCATTCCAATCACTAAACAATCAAAACTCCAAAAATTTCTAACATCATATTAAATAAATGCAAAAGCATGCTGTATTATGTAGGCCTTTATTCAGACACTAAACTACAATCGAGCTGTTTACAAACAAATTTAAATAAATATGCAAGAAATTTTCATACAAATCAATTAATCATATCAGCCGAGATTAAGGGAAATCTTGGTTTTTTTTCTTTTTGTGGCACTGGGGATAAAATCCAGGGTCTTGTGCATGCTGGTGTGTTCTACCACCAAGCTACATACATCCCAAGCCCAATAAAGTATTTATTAAATACAATATGTGTGTCACTCTACTTGGCTAAACAGATACTAAGGTGGTGATATTAAGGGTCAAACCCATTAAGTCCATTTACCCATCACTGCTAAACATATGGCTGCTCTAGTTTCTAAAAAGCCCCAAATCCAAATCACCAAACTGATGTAAAATTCTTTTTTATATGTATCTAGTCTTTAAAGCAATTTTTTTGTCTAAATAGTTTCAGTCTCAATGGTTTTTTTTTTTTTTTTGCAATCTATCAAATTCACTTTATGACAAAATTATCTAAATGTCAGAATGACCTCCAGGTTCTAGAGAGTGAGTCATCTTGAATGATAGGAAATAAGTCATTTAATTTGATGAGGGGGTCAGGCCCAGAGATATCTACATCACATTTCAATAAAATTTAACATCAATGGAATAGGACGGGCTATCTCTGCTTTTAAATTCTGTAAAGACCTAAACTTTTCAAAGTCATTTTATCACTATAATAAAACTAAAAATTCTGACAGGGCCTTTGGAATATTATTTAACCAACTTCCAAAGATTTACACAGTATTAGTGAAAGGTACAAATACCTCAATATAGCACTCTACCTCTTCACTTATGTTTTAAAGTCTAACTTCATTTGCTAGACCAAGCTCATAATGCTGCCAACCAGCTCAAAACCACAAATAAAACACTGATGGTAAGAAAATATCACTAAAAAGCACTGTGTGTACCCTGCACATTCTCAGCCTTTTAACATTTATCCAACAGATATGTACTGGGAATCTAAATGCCAGACCCTGCATTGAACCCTGGGAATAAAACAAACAGAAGTCACACAGCTGGTATTTATAGTTCAATAGGCCATATTTAGGCCATGCTTGAAACAATAATAGATATAGAATTCTATGTTTATTTTGTATTAGAAGTTTCATCATCTTACTCAGTATCTCCTAGTTTACTATAAGGGTGCATTTTAAGAGTAACATTTGTAGGATTGTACTAATATCAATTTCCTATGTGATAATAGAGTTTTGCAAAACATTACAACTGGTGGAGACTGGGAAAAACATAAAAGGGAACTATCAGTTTTTATAACTGCAGATGAATATATAATTATTTCAATAAAATGAGTAATCAGGGATACAAAATATAATTTTTCATAAATTGTCATAAAATAACTGGTGGGTTCTAAGATCAACTACAGTATCTTTATTTTTTTTATTCATAACCCTTTTTAGTAGTAATTACAAACCTTAAGGATTCTAGCTCTTACTCTCTTTAGTATGAATTTCAGCAGTAGTTTCCTACCTAGTCTCACTGCTAATGTCTCCAATCCCCTTATATAAGCACAATCTCATTATATCTTCTTTTAGTATAAAATCCTCCAGTGGAATTCCAGGGATACAGTCCAAACCCTACCCATGACATACAAATCTTCTCAAAATATGGATCTTGCCTATCTTTCCAGTTTCTAATGCCTGCTACAGACCCAGAACACCCCCTGCCAAGCCCCATGGCTGGCACAGCTAGCTGGCTGCTCCTCCCAAATGCCCTTCCCAACCAGTAACTGGACAGAGACCTGCATATCCTCTACTTTTCATGCACCTGCCATTTCTCTTCCCTTTCTTCATAAACCCACTGATCCTTGTTCGTGTTTCAGCAATGCACTGGGAGACACAATTAACAGCTCTAAGACTCTGGAAGGTACATTATCCACATTTTTTCTCCTTATATCCTTAACACTTCGACACTCTATCCAGCATTTGGGGGGAGCACTCAAATGTATGTTGAAAGAATGACTGATGACTTTTAATGAGCTTAAAACACCATTTGCAAAAGTGAAACCAAGGCAGAAATCACTATATTGTTAAAAAAAAAAAAAAACACTGATTTTTATTTTATGAGTCCAAAGGTTTAATGTATGAAACAAAAACAACTAAAAAGGGGTTGGTTGGGAAGGGATATGTAAAATGTATTAGCAGAAACAACAAAGAAAATAAATTTCACTTATCTGTCCCCACTCAATTGAGAAGTTATAGCAAACCACCAAGGGGAAGTAAGCCAAGGGAATAGTAGTCACCTTATATGCTGACATTCTGCCAATCAAATATCGCTGTACAGCAACATAGATGTAACTATAGATATGGAAAAAATGAGATCAATTTAGAGGTGTCGATATAAAAACAACTATGTGCTATATTAGGTGGAAAACATAAGTAGAGAATAGTCTGCTCTTATTTGTATAAGGCAATTGGTAAGGAGTGGGCATGGTGGCACGTGCCTGTAATCCTAGTTACTAGGGAGGCTGAGGAAGAGGATCACAAATTAGAGGCCAACATGGGCAACTCAAAATCTGTCTCAAAATAAAATAATAAGAGCTAGGCAGTGGTTGAGTGCTTGCCTAGCGTGCACAAGGCTCTGGGTTCAATCCCAAGCATAGCAAGATAAAAAGGACTGAGAGGTAAAGGGAGCTAGGAGCATGTAAACTTAAATACTTGGGAGATTTCTGAAATAACTGTAGTAAGCCCCTGGAGAGAGTAAGTAAGGCTCTGAGGTAGGAAGATGGTTTCACAGAATACTACGTTTTAGTCTGAATTTTTTTTAGTATGGGTGTATATTATGTTTTCACTTTTTAAAACTAGTTTCACAAAAAGCGAGTAGAAGTCTCGTCATGCTCCCCATTCAGAACCCACCAATGTACTCTAATATCCACTCCCGAGGGAAAGGTCACTCTAATGAATAGCCAGCACTAATTTGCATCTTGAATATCTAGCCAACTCAAGACTTAAAAAGACTTTAGCAACAGCCTCCCTCTTAGGGCAATCATGAGAGGCTTTGAGTTAGAAATTATCTGTTTAAGCCCTGTTAATTCACAGGACTATGAGAGAAACTAATAAATTGTTTTAAGCCAAGAGAAAAATGAAAGAACTAGGTAAAGGTTTCTGTTTTGAGCAAGTAGAATCTATTCTATCCTGGCATACCACTAAAACAACATTTAAAGAAATTAAGAAAAAAACTGGCGAGAACAAAGAGAATTGAAGACATGCCAAGGAGAATTGAAAAAAAAAAAAAGAATGCCTGCAAATTTGGAAACTGTAAGACATGGGTAACTTTCAGCAGAAATGAGGTACCAGGGGTGACTAAAGGTATTTTCTAGAGAAACTGAAAGGCTCGGTGGTGGGCAAGAGTGAGGCCTCGGCTTCTGAGCTGGAGTGCTAAGTAAAAGCCTAACAATAGGTGCAAAGCTCTGGCCAAAGCAAGCAACTATGAGAATAGACTAAAGGTATTTTTAGAAATGTATGAACAGAAACATTCATCTGTTATGCATCATTTCACAGGAAACTTTTTGAGGCTATGCTTCAACAAAGTGAGGGTGATATCCAAAAAAGTAGAAGACAAAGAACAAAAATAGGGACCTAAATCACAAGGGCAGCTGGGTGATAGGCCTGCAAGCAGCCTGTCTACAGGGAACAGCCACTCAGAGGTCTCCAGAGACAAAGGGAATTGACAGACTATCTGATCTGTGCAAACATTTGAAAAAAAAAAAAAAATTACCAACAAACACGGAAAAGACCTGAAGGAAAAATTAAGCATCTCTACTCCAAAATTTACCTATGTTTAAAAGATAGAGTAAGGCAGTTATTCAGGATAGGGAAAACAAGAATGGAAATGTAATCATAGATACTATTTGATTCTATAGGAAATAACATTTTAGGTAGCCATTTAATAATGCAAACAACAACTAAAAACAACTGAATATGGAGAAGTGAGCCATGTTTTAATAAGAAGTCAACAGATAATTTCTAAGATGAATTAAGAGGTAGACCTAATACCTAGAAAAATGGGAAAAATCTAGAATGTGGTGCTTGTATTATAAATTATAAATCTTTGAAATTGATTTTTAAAGCTGATATATGTAATATAAATGCTTTATATTTTAATTAATCATAATTATTAATAAGTAATTATAAGAATAATCACAGGAAATAAAATAATTATTAGGTTCTATAACAGAAGTCTGGCGAGGAATGTGGCTTAGTAGTAGAGCATTTGCCTACATGTTGTGAGGCTCTGAGTTCAATCCCTAAAAAAAAAAAAAAAAAAAAAAGAACAGAAGCCACTGTGCATATTTCTCTGGCTAATATTAGTGCTAAAAACTGAAAAATGCTAGAAAAGCAGTGTTGTTAGTCTAAATACAAATTGAGAAGACATTATTTTCTTCTCTCCTGTAATTAGGACATAATCTATGCACAATCTTCCTTATATTTTAAAAAGTAAATCAGTGGTCTGGAGGTATAGCTTAATGGTAGAACTATGGCCAAGCGTGCACAGGCTCAGTCACCAGCACCACATGAAGAAGAGGAAGGAGGAGGAGGAGGAGGAAGGAGGCGGAGAAGGAGGAGGAGGAGGAGGAAGGAGGCGGAGAAGGAGGAGAAAGAAGGAGGAGGAGGAGGAGGAGGAGGAGGAGGAGGAGGAGGAGGAGGAGAAATAAAAAAAGAAAAATCAAGATTGTTAGTTTGGTAAATGAGAGAAAATACCTAGAGTCTTTCTCAGGAAATAGTGCCACAAATGTGCTTTGACAAACACAGAATCAGAGTCAATGTTTTACTCCACAAAATTTTAGTATGATCCTTTAACCTGGTATTACCAAAATCTCTTCATGATTGGAACATTCAAACTGACCAGAATTTAAAGCAGGCAGACCAACTACTTTCAAATAAATACCTTCCTTTACTCTTAAAATAAAAGAAATATGTTAATACCTGTTAAGACTTTATTTTCTACAAACACATTAGTAATGATTTTCAAAATAAAGGAATAGAATCAGAAAACTGGATTGTAAAAAACAATTGATGTAAAAGGAAGAAAATCCTTCAGAAAATGTAGCATCCCATCCCCCCAAAACAAACAAACAAACAAACAAACAAAAAAACCCTCTCAAGTCTCTGAAAATTACCATTATCATTTCAGATTGTGTTTCATGTTCTAGAATGAGAAGGCCAAGGAACCAAAGAGGACTTTCTTCAAGTAGGAGCACCATGAAGAACATCATCATCATAACTACTGAATAAAATGACAAACTAAAGGACTGGACACACTACTCACATGCTCTGTAGATTTTCAGCTTCATGAAAAATGGAAAGGAATCACTACGCTGTATTAGATTTCCAAAACTGTACTAACAGTAAAAAAATTGATTTACTGAGAAATTTCTACGTGCTAAAGCAATAACTATTAATAACTAAGATGAAAATTTACAAATAAAATTCATTTTCTTCTTTCAAAGTAAAAATAATTGTAATAGTAAAAAATACTTGTAGTTCCAGGTACTGTTCTATAAACTCTACAAAGAAATTAAGACATGAAGCTGGGGATATAGCTCAGTTGGTAGAGTGCTTGCCTTGCATGCACAAAGCCGAATGCCCTGAGTTCAATCCCTAGCACCACCAAAAAAAAAAAAAAAAAAAAGTGAGACCTGAAGAAAATTAAATTTCCCAACGTTTACTTGACTAGTAAGTGCTACAGCTAGGATTTATATTAGGAGTCTTGACTTTTATGATTGGTAAAATTTTATGGAAAAGAAATATGTTAATTCTAACTTAATATATAACTTTTATAAAATATATAAAATAAAAACATGGTATAGCACACTAAATAAACATATACATATACAGTAACTATGTTGGGAAAACTAATGACTCTAATGAATTCTATACGAAAGCTCTATTTCCTATATATTCTCTCTATATGTGTGTTAGAGAAATACACATTTATACACACACATATACAAAAGTTTCCTTGTAAATTTTATTTGATTAATAATTACTGTGCATTCTGAAGTTTCTTTACTATAATTTTCAAAGAAAATTAAAAGTACTATTAATCTAGTACTTTTTAAAAACCACTATTAGGGAGTAAATGCTATTTAAGACCATAATAAAAGAAATAGCTTTACACATGAGAAATATTTAAAAAGAGAGACTGGAACAAAATGTAACAAATAAAGTATATTATGTATTTAAATAGTGTAAGTAAAAATAAACATGGGAAATATACTAGTTACATATTGACACAGAATAATTCCTCAACTTACCTGCCAGATAGAGGGCAAATGATATAAATCTGTGGTAGCGAATGAGGAACTGAAGCTGTTCTTCTCTTTGAACAAATGTAGCAAAATAATCAGCCACAGTCTCTCCATAGAAAAAGTAGTTTACACACAATAGAAAGTACCTACAATTTAAAAACAATTAACTCCTTTAAATATTTGAAGCCTTTCCCCCCCTCAATTGAATAATTCTCTACATTTTGATGATACAAAACCAAATTCAGAAGACCAATTCAAAATCAGTCAACAACTATCTACTGAATAGAGTTCATGTCTTTAACCCAAACTATAATGCCAGAGAAAACAATACAGAAAATACAACATACACACTGAAAATTAACTCCCAAGTACTCAAAGTACAGTTTAGTGCTTTGTAATAGTAACCATCAGGACACATCCCCACCTGCTCTAAGAAGATTGAGAAAGGAAGAAGAGTTAGTCTAACTTTCTCCCACTGTCTTGCACACAATATTGGCATCTTTCTCTGCTCTTCTCAATGCTCAGATAAAGGGAAATTGGGCAAAAGGACCTAATGGCAGGTAAAACTCTCTAGAAGAAAGATTTTTCTCCCCACATTTTTTTTCTTGTTCTTTTTGTAACAAGGATTGAACCCAGGGGCACTGGCTTTGTAATCATGATCCAGCTTTCTCAGCCTCTGGAGCTACTGGGATTACAGGTGCGTGCTGCTCAGCCCAGCCCCTACATTTTTAAATTGGTGCATTACAGTTGTAGATACTGATGGAATTTGTTGTTACATATCTGTACATGTATACAATACACGATATAACAATATAATTTGGCCAGTATCATTTATTTCCCAGTATTTCCCGGCTCCCTCCCCATCTCACTGCTTGGTCCCTTTCCCCTACTGATCTTCCCCTTGAGTTTTAGGAGCTCCACCCCCACCTTTCTTTTCCTTTTTCTTCTCTAGCTTCTGCATATGAGAAAAAACATAACTTCTGAGTTTGGCTTTTTTTGCTCAACATTATAGTCTCTAGGTCCATCCATTTTCCTGCAAATGACATAATCTCATTTTTAATTATGTTAGAATAAAATTCCATTGTGTATATATACACCACATTTTCTTTATCCACTCATCCATTGATGCACACCTAAACTGGTTCTACAATTTGGCTATTGTGAATTTTGCTGCTATAAACATGAGTATGCATGTATCACTGTAGTATGATGACTTTAATTCTGTATGATAAATACCAAAGAGTGCTATAGTTGGGTCATACCATAGTTCCATGCCTAATCTTTTGAGGAACCTCCATACTGATTTCCATAGTAGTTGTACTACTACAACAATGTAAAAGTGTTCCTTTTTCCTCACATCCTTGCTAGTGTTTGTTATTATTTGTATTCTTGATGACTGCCATTCTGACTGGTATGAGATGAAATCTCAATGTAGTGATTTGCATTTTCCTAATTGCTAATGATGTTGAACATTTTTTTCATGTACTTGTTGGCCACTGGTATTTATTCTTTTGAGAAGCATCTTTTTAATTCGTGTACCCATTTATTTGTTGGTTATTTGATTTTTTGGTATGAAGGGGGTTTTTTAGCTCTTCATATATTTTAGATATTAATCCTCTGTCAGAGAATAGCTAGCAAAGATTTTTTTCCCATTTTGTAGGATCCTCTTCACATTCCTAATTGTTTCTTCTGCTGTGCAGAAGCTTTTTAATTTGATGCCATCCCATTTATTAACTCTTGGCATTATTTCCTGAGCTTTAGAGGTCCTGCTGAGAAAGTAGTTGACTCTGTTTTTTCCCCTAGTTTCTGGTCTAATTCTCTAGGAGAAACTTTTAAAAACTTCATAAATCATCTGTCCCTTCTCTAGTGTGTCCCCTCCCTCAGACAGAGGGTAAGCTCAGAAAAAGGCTGACAAATACTGCCTTAGATAGTTCCTCTGTGCCTCCTGCTCTGGAAGGAAAAGTCCTAGCTGGCTAGAGAACAGTCCAAGAAAAAAGGAGTGGATTCTCTCAGGTTCTCACAGATGGAATGATACCCCACTGTTCCCAAAGTAATGGACAAGTATTCTTTTCCCCATCAACTGCATTACCTTCTTCAGTTATCCTGTGATATGGCTTCGACTCCTCTATAAGGCTATCAAGGCCTAACCTAGCCCACCAATCCAATTTTTTGCCCATTATTCCCCAATAAATACCTCTGCTCAGGAAGGTCACCAATGTAACACCATCTGTAGTACACGCCATACCTAGACCCTGATGGGTCCTGCTTCTCCAACCCAGGGTACTCTTCTCATCCAAAGCTTGTTTTTATTTCAGGGTCAGTTAATCTCTCTTTTATTTTATTAAGCCTTCTATAATCACTGGAGCCCATCCTGATTCATCTCTTCTTTTCCCATACTTAGTAGTACTGCATGATGTAACATTTAATTGTTCTCTAATTACTTTACCCACCTAACATTTCCCTTACATCTGCCATTACTCACAAAGAAAACTTCTAGGAGGAAAATCAGCTATCACCAAAATCAAGAAACTGTTTTCACTACTCTAAACCCCAAAGATGATAGGTTCCTTGGCTGATACTAATGAAACAACTATGCTAAAAGGCATGACCACTTAGGTTAAATATAAACTCTTATGATATCATATCTCCTGGTCAAGGTCTTGATAGCTATGAGTAAACATTTAAATGCTGAAATCATCCAATGATTTTTTTCTGATTTTACATACATTTGTGTATATAAAATATTTTGTATTCTTTTCAACTGAGGACAAATAAAGTAAAAGATTATGAGTAAACATTTTGATAAAATTATGATCCTAAAAGATATAAAAATGTATGATACAATGTTAAGGAAAAAAAAGAAAGGTGTCTATAATTATTATAAATTACATGTCTCTACAAAGATTGAAATATGAGCTATGAAAAAAGTTGTGTTGTGATAAAACAGGTGATTTTCTTCTTGTCAAAACTGTATTACATTCGTTTTATTTACCTTTCTCCAAAATCAATCTATAACATAAACTGAGTGGACAATGACTTATCAGGATGTTGCTTTTATAAACTTTAGAAAAGAATCAGATTTTCAAACTGGAAACAGATTTTACTTACCAACTCAGTGTTCTGAACCATGGAAGATCATAAGAATGATAGACTCTGTAACCTATAGTGATGATTTCATGGAAGCATTTTACTTGGATGCCCAGAACCTGAAACCAAGAGAGAATATTATATTTCTCAAGGTTTACATTTGTGTTTGATCATATGTGTTTTAGAAATTTTTAATCTATAAATTTTTTAATTCATGTAAAAGACAATTCAATATTCAATGTCTCTAAGATCAAGTGATGGCCTAAAAGGTAAGTAAAATGATGTTTTATTCAAAAAGGTTTGAGACATCTGCCCCCAGGTAGGGGGTGACCTTGGAGTTTAAAGTTTGAGGGATATAGTCTGGATGATCAGACTACTTCCATTGTTACTACTTCATTTCTTTAGACTGTTCCTACCAAGATAGACAATCTTTTTGTCCAATTTTCTCATTTTTGTTTCTTAAGTTACCCTAGAAAAATGATCACGCATGAAAATCTGCTTGTACATATTTATCTTTAACCATACATCTGGTATACTTAACAAAGAATAAAGATATCATCAGGACAAATAGTTAAAACATCTTCTACCCAGTCATCCAAGAAATGGGAATGGTCTTTTTATTCTCACTGCTGAGCCAGGTCTCTGGTGGCCAGCAACAATTCTCCTCATCAGAGCTGTGCTGTGTACCATAGCAAATTATCAGCAGCCTTCTACATCTGCACACTATGGCCTGCCAACAGAGCTCATGCAGTTCTGTTGGTAGTGTCCTAAATGCATGCCTAGTAAATATGTTTATCAATTTTTGATGTTCTATTTAAACTGCTATATCACAGATCTTGGTGAGGGCAATTCCTCAAATTTTCACATCATATTTATTAGGACTTTGCTTAGATCAATTCCGAGACTCAGAGGACTAATGGCAAGTTGAACGCTTATAAACCGAGAGATTAAAATCTTTGTGAATGCAGCAGAACTCTTATCAACCTCTAGAGAGAACACTCAAGGTTTTTTGTTTGCACAGATCTTTAGCTAAGAATAAACTTTTAAGTTTAAAGAGTTTTTTTTAAAGTCAAATATTATGTTATAAACGATATGCAACTTCCTAAAGCATAAATATTACTATCTGGTCCCTCTCAGAAAAAAAGCTTACCAAACTCAGTCTGAGGATATACTCTGGGACTTCTTTTTAATATCTTCACAAATTAGTTTTACCAAACTTACTGTTTAGAATATTCTTTTTTTTTTTTTTTTAATTGGTTGTTCTAAACTGAACACATGAGAGAGCACAACTAGTTACAACCATGGCTTTAAAAGCACAAATTAAAAGAAAAAAAAAAAAAGATGAAAGGAAGTATCTGTGTTAACTAGGTTTGGGCAGTAGATGATAGGGTTGGGGTGATTTTTAAAAAATTTGTTTTAATTTCAATATACTTTTTCACCTTTCAAAATGGAAAAAATTTTTAAACATATTATTTGAAAGTAAAGTAAATGTAAATGTGTCAACTCATAGCTATAAGATAGAAATAACATTATACTAACTAGTATAAAGAGTACTTTTAGAAGAAAGTTGTTAAATGTATTAGAATATAAAGAAAAGAGGACAATTAAATTGTTCTTCAAATAACCTTTGTATATAACATCAGAAGTTCCAGGATTACTTCTTAAAAAAATAATCACAGAATGGGGACAATGCTCAATATTAAGATAAAGTAGCAAAGCCATGCTATTGATAGAACCAAAGAACTTTTAAAATATCAAATGCACTGATGCAATTTCTATGAACATATTTACTTGAGAACAACCATTTGCACTATATGTAGTATTTTACTGAGAAAAGAAAAGTATTTTAAAACAGCACACATATATTTATATGATATGATCATCAACTACAGTTGGCAGGGAGAATTAATATGGAACTTCTGGGAAAACAGAATAGAGGGAATTCAAAACATTAGAGTAAAAAATCCTTAAAATATAAGTATTATTCAAGGCGGAGTTATTATGACCCATTTATGACCCATTTATGCAGAAATTGGTACTGGTAGCAATCAATGTTCACTGGTAGAATTCTGTTGATCCAATTAATTTGTTAAGAGTCTTAAAAACAACAACCAATACTTCATTGACTACTTTACAGTTACTAAGGACTCAGAAATAACACAGGGCATCATTCTCAGAGAGTTATAGTCTAGCAGGGAGGAAGCACTCAATTACACTACCATGTGGAAGGAGTCAAATGTGTGTATGTACAGGCCCACAAACCTGTAGCAAGGGGTGGTGGTGGGCTGGGCCAAAGGAGGGGAATGTGCAGTCACTTGATAAGGAAACTACAAGTTGCTCAAGGTGCTGGAACATGAAGGTGAGGATGAGGGGAGAACAGGAGCCTGGTGGAAAAGCACTAGAAAACAGCTCAAGTGGAATAACAGGAACAGATGTGAGGATCTGGGACAAAGGAGGTGGCAAGAGTACACAGGTCAGAGGACGTGATTGCACTGCACATGAATGAGCATCTAACAGGACGGTAGCAGAGGAATGGAGGAAGAGATACAGGACACCTTGAGGAACTGGAACAAACTGGATTTAACTGTTGAGGAAGCTGGAGGGCCAAGGGAAGGCAGGAACATGCAACGACACCAAACAAGGTTTGGGAAGGAACACAGATTTACACAGGATGGCTGTGGGAAGGAATGAAGTTCAGATCTGGAAATGCTGAGTGAACTCTGGTACTTACGGATTATACCAATGAATGCTGTTTTCACTTTGGAAATCTATTCTAAGAAAATAATCTTATATATGAAATTAGAACTTATACTTGAGTAGTTCAAGATATTGTTATTCATAATAAAAAAATAACCAGAACATAACCTAAGTGTTTAAACATCACATAATAACTTAAATAAATTATGATGCATTATCTTGAATCTATCAAAGCTGACAATGATAAAGACCACTTAATAAAACAAAACTTTGGACATGATTAGCTTAAAAAGCAGGAGACAAAATTTTAGTCACAACATTATTACAACCATGGTTTTTAAAGCGAAAATTAAAAGAAAAAAAAGGATATAAGAAACTATATCAAATGGCTGTGTTAACTGAGTTTTGAGTAGCTGATGGTAGGGGTAGGGTGATTTTTTAAAAATTATTTTTGAAAATAATTTTAATATACTTTTTCAACTCTCACAATGGAAAAAAGTAAACACTCTATTTGAAAGTAAATTATACTCTATGAATTAACAATTGTTATAGTAATTTTCAAAAAGGGAGAAAGCTCTTAGAATGTATATTCATATTTACCTTTAAATTAAAATATGCTTTAGTAACTACATACTTAGAATGCATGAACACAACATAGATCTAGAAATTAAAAACTGAAGGACAAAGTTCCTTTTATTTTAAATAACAGTAGTATGAATTCCATCTGATAGTAGCTATCATTTCCTAGTATTCAGTTTTTTTTTTTTTTTTTTTAAAGAGAGAGACAGAGAGAGAGAGAAAGAGAGAACTTCTAATATTTATTTTTCAGTTTTCGGTGGACAAAACATCTTTATTTTATTTTTATGTGGCGCTGAGGATCAAACCCAGTGCCCCGCGCATGCCAGGCTAGCGTGTTACCGCTTGAGCCACATCCCCAGCCCCAGTATTAAATTTTTAATAAAACTATATCGAATTAGTCATTACTGAGTGCTGACATTATAAAGCAAATACAAACAAGGTATATTCTATACTTTTCAAAATTATAAATTATCCAGTTAGAAATAAGAATATAAAGACTTTAAAACACATTAAAGGCTGGGGTTGTGGCTCAGTGGTAGAGTGCTCGCCTGGCATACATGAGGCACTGGGTTCGAATCTCAGAACCACATAATGTAAAATAAAGATATTATGTCCACCTAAAACTAAAAAAATGAATATTTAAAAAATAAAAATAAAATACATTAAAAACATCAACTGAGAAACAACTGTGTATGTCATTCATATTCCCTTGACATAAACATAGTATAAAAGTAACCTATGTATATATATTCAATAAACTTAAATATGCAACAAGAGTTCAAATCGACTTTAACTACATCTTTAACACTCTAATATTCTTTTCTTTTTTCATAATACCTTTGTTTTTATTTATTTATTTTTATGTGGTACTTAGGATTGAGCCCAGCGTCTCACATGTGCTAGGCAAGTACTCTACCACTGAGCCATGACCTCTGACCCTCTTGTATTTTTTCTGATTAAACTCACCAATCAAAGCAAACAACTTGTAATAAAACTACATTTTCCTTTTCAGGATAGAAAAAATAAACAAAGAAAGCCCAAGTCATTTTGGCAGGTTTATGATTCTCTTTTTAAAAATCACAATCTAAATCGGCATGAATGTTTTTAAAAAGAGGATTTTGAATTTCATAAAAGAGTGGCTACATGGTCAGTTGGTATACAAACTAAGAAAGGCTAGCTTCAATTTGATGCTGTTTGTGCCTATGCTGCTTCTTTATACGATGTGGGCTAATGTTGAGAGCCACAGCTGAAGGGGCCCCAGCAAACTTTCAGACTGCCAGATGATGATTGGCTCACAGCGGCCCCAGCAACTTCTAGCTGACTGGTTCCTCTGTGGTGATGCTCATTGGGCTGTTTCCCCGCCCTTTCAGACCACGGAGCTGCTCATTGGGGGACTTTTTTGGCTCTGCCCACGCGACCCAGCCAATGGGCCTCAAGAGCAGGAGGAGAGGGGGAGGTGGAGAGGCTTGTGGGAAGCCGGTGGTGGCAGTTGGGCTCTGAGGGTTTTTCCTGAGGAGCTGTTTTGTTTGGTGTGTGTGGTTCTAAAAATAAAGTTAGTTTTTTTTTGACAAGTGGCTCCTGAATTGTGCCCAGCCAGACTGCGGCAGGCTAATACTGGCCTAATTACATTGCTGTATTGTGGCTAAAATGTAGTCTTCATCCAGTCAACTGGATAGTTTGGGAAAAACGTAAGTTATTCACAGGGGTGCCCACCACATCAGCCTAAGTCAATCCAGCAAGGATACCTTTGCAATATCTCAGATCAAAATTTTCTTCTATAGATCCTCCAATGGGCCAAATAATCTCCAATATTTTCAGTAGCTCCTCAGTGCTTTCCAAATAAAACACAAACTTCTTCACATATCATTTCAAGGCCTTCCAGGAACTGATCCCTATTTATTTTTCCAGGTTCAAAGACCCAGTGCTCAAGGAAAAGCACCTTTCTCTAAGGTACCCAGCCATATAGAACTTTGCTTATAGTACTCCCTCCACTCTGGCAGAATGCTGGGTTCCCAAAGGTTCCTGTAAGCCCCCAAGCCCTACTGAGCCCCTGACATCACTTGGTCCCAGGTCCCTTCTTCCCCAGTCCAATCCACCCATCATACAGCCAGATGTTCTCCACAGACTTGCTAATTAAATGCCTGAGTCTTCAAGCCTGTGGAGGGTCCTGTTACTGCTGGATTCAAAGATTCAAAGACTGAGAAAACTAGGAATTAGAGGTCCCATCCAGCAATCACTCCAGATACCCATACATGCCTATCTGGCTTTCAGACTGGCATTCTCTACCCTCACATTAATTCTGGCCTCTCAATTATCCATTACACTTTTTCCTTTGTTAGAAAAAGTGCTTTCTTTAAGATGCCAGCAAATTAATAGAACTATGAAAAAATTTCTTACTTACTCATTTTCATTACCTTGATATCCCCAAGGAAGTACAAAATTAATGAGGGACGAAAGTGTAAAAGAGGTGTTATAGCCCTTCAAGAGCCAATTCACATTGTTTCATGAGTTGATAGATTTTTGTTGTTGTTGTTGTTTCTACTTTCACTTGAAGACTTATTTTTTTATAATATAAAAGGAAAACTCTATCATGTTGCCCATAAGCTTATCATCTACAAATAGGATAGAGTATGGAGTTGGGAAGACAAGGGAGATGGGTACATGCATTTTTAAGTAGGCAAGAGCATTGAAAGAATAGAGGTGAGTATACAAGAAGAGGTCAAATTAGCTAAGAAATGGATAAAGAAAATAATAAAGAGAAGGAGGGGGCTTGCATGCCTGGGATTGTGTGCAGGTAGGCATGTATTGGGAGGGCAGACCTTAAATAACAACAACAATAATAATGAAGAGGTACACAGTGCACAATCCCAAGAGCATACTCTCACTATTCACTGCCAAACCATGCTCAGCACCCTGAAAGTACATAATAAATTAGTTGAACAAATGCTTTTTTCCTCACTCCCACCACAATGATATACACAGAAGACCTCTGTATATGAGGATCTTCCTCTAGGGTCCTCCCTTCACCTCACTGATTACTCCTATTCAACATGTATATCACAGTTCTCTGTGTCTGGCACAATGCTTCGGTAGAGTCTCCTAGCTCCTTCTCTGTTCTTATAGTATTATTCTTTATTTCAAATGCTCATCATAGTTTTCAACCAGATATAGAGACATATATCTACAACCAATTCTTTAAAGTGTAGGTAGCAAGCTCCATGAAGGCAGAGATAATCACCTTTTTCATTATACCCCAGAACCAGCACAAAACCTGGCACATAGCAGGCATCATGGAAGCATTTATTAAACAAATTATGAGCTCAAAATACCTGTTTGTCTTCAACCGTTGGGATTCTCATACACAACGAAAACCCAAACTCCTAGAATGGCTTCTCCTGGCCTCTGCAGTCTCATCCCTAGCTCCCTCCACATGTACAACCTCAGATCCTGCGACAAACCATGTTCTCCCATTACCTCCACACCTTGTCCATAAAGTCCCCACCTTGGAAAGTCTTCTTGTTTAGTCACCTTTTTTGTCACTGTGACCAAAATGCCTGACAAAAACAACTCAAAGAAAAGTTTATTTTGGCTCATGGTTTCAGAGGTTCAGTCTACAGTCAGACTCCATTGCTCTGGGCCAGAGGTAAGGCAGAAGATCATCGTGGCAGAAGGGTGCAGCAGAGGAAAGCTGCTCAGCTCATGGCAGCCAGAAAGCAAAGAGAGATCAAGGTACCAGAGGCAAAATATAAACCCCCAAGGCACACCACCAGTGAGCTACTTCCAGCCACACCCTATCTGCCTACAGTCACCACCCAGTAAATCTACCACATGATCAAGCCACCATTTGGATACTAGGTATCCTCCCAAAAGCTCAGGTGCTGATGCAGGGATGTTCAGAGGTGAGGTCATTAGATTATGAAAACTGTTTCCCAAATGCACCACATGCTTTTTTACTGTGCTTTTCTAATAATGTCCTCATTGGACTTATCCAACTTATTTACCACAGTACTTAGTCAATGGTTATCTAAAGGTCTCGGCCATTACACTAAGTTCCTTGGAGTCAAGGATCTAGCTATAATCATATATATGCCGAAGCTGTGTGTGTATTTCTGTCAGGTCTATCACTCAGCACAATGTTGAACACATGGAAATACACTTGGTCTCTTCTGATTGAACTATTTACAGGCAGAAATGATTAGCCCAAATCCATTCATGACCTAGAAGATGCTTAAAGGAGCTAAATTTGCTGTTAACAAAACATGGATTACCTTCTTTTTTATGAAATACTAGAATTATTTCAATTATATATAAATGCTGAAAAAACAGAGCAAGAGACACTTAAGAAAAGGTCAAACACTTACAAGAAGCATCAGCATAAAGGATCCCATATAGATGATCAGGAAAAACATTGAAATCATAGTTAGGGTAAGAATTCCACGAATCCACCAATTTTTCCACCTACAAAGAAAATGTTAATAAAGTTAGTATTTAATGATATCTTTTAAAGTATTTAATGATATCTTAAAAGTTTTTTAGTGTGGTTTCAGTATAGAGTTGCTAAACTTAAAGAATTTTTCTTAATTATTCCTTAAGATACCCTATTTCGCTTTATGTACTAACAATAGCCACTGTCTAAGAGCTAAATTAAAATTTGAGATCATGTTAGCCAGAGAAAGAAATAAATTTTTGTTAAATGTGAATGGGGATGAGTCATGAGGTTAGAGAGTTAAGTGGTCAATCTGGCTGTGAAAGTCATACATCCTACCAGATATCACATGAAGGGAGAGACCAGTCAGGTTCAAAAGCCCTAGGAAAAGATGACGCTCAGTCCTTTGGAATGGTAGGTTAAAAAAAAATCAGTAGCTATTTAAGAATATGGTGTAGAGAGCATGGTCTATCAAAGAGAAAAAGTAATGAAAGGATAATATAGAAATGAAACTGGAAAGTACAGTGATTTTGGTGAAATGAAGGTTCCTGTGATCTAACAGGTTGATCACTGAGGGTAAGGACAGACCAAACACACTTCCTTCTCATGCTTAAAGTGTGCTGTCTGCTTTTTGTGATAAAAGTATTTTCTTTTTTTAATTACTTATTTTTATTTATAAGTGACAGTGGAATGCATTACAATTCTTACACATACAGAGCACAATTTTTCATATCTCTGGCTATATATAAAGTATATTCACACCAATTTGTGTCTTCATACATGTACTTTGGATAATAATGTCCATCACATTCCACCATCATTTCTAATCCCATGACCCCTCCCTTCCCCTCCCACCCCTGTCCCCTTATCTAGAGTTCTTCTATTCCTCCCATGCTCCCTCTCCCTACTGCACTATGAATCAGCCTCCTTAAATCAGAGAAAACATTTGGCATTTGGTTTGGGGGGATTGGCTAACTTCACTTAGCATTATCTTCTCTAACTCCATCCATTTACCTGCAAATGCCATGATTTATTCTCTTTTATTGCAGAGTAATATTCCATTGTGTATATATGCCACATTTTTTTTATCCATTCATCTATTGAAGGGCATCTAGGTTGGTTCCACAGTTTAGCTATTGTGAATTGTGCTGCTATAAACGTTGATGTGGCTGTGTCACTGTAGTATGCTGTTTTTAAGTCTTTTGGGTATAGACCAAGGAGAGGGATAGCTGGGTCAAATGGTGGTTCCATTCCCAATTTTCCAAGAAATCTCCATACTGCTTTCCATCGTGGTTGCACCAATTTGCAGTCCCACCAGCAGTGTATGAGTGCGCCTTTTTCCCCCACATCCTCCCCAACACTTATTGTTGTTTGTCTTCATAATAGCTGCCATCCTGACTGGAGTGAGATGAAATCTTAGAGTAGATGTGCATTTCTCTAATTGCTAGTGATGATGAACATTTTTTCATATATTTGTAGACTGACTGTATATCATCTTCTGAGAAGTGTCTGTGCAGGTCCTTGGCCCATTTATTGGTTGGGTTATTTGTTTTTTATTTGTTTGGGTTTTTTGGTGTTTAGCTTTTTGAGTTCTTTATATAGCCTAGAGATTAGTGCTCTATCTGATGTGTGAGGGGTAAAGGTTTGCTCCCAAGATGTAGGCTCTCTATTCACCTCACTGATTGTTTCTTTTGCTGAGAAAAAACTTTTCAGTTTAGTTTGAGTCCATCCCACTTATTGATTCTTGATTTTAATTCTTGTGCCACAGGAGTCTTATTAAGGAAGCTGGGACCTAATCCCACATGATGGAGATTAGGGCCTACTTTTCTTCTATTAGATGCAGGGTCTCTGATTTTATTCCTAAGTCTTTGATCCATTTTGAGTTGAGTTTTGTATATGGTGAGAGAAAGAGGTTTAATTTCATTATGTTGCATATGGATTTCCAGTTTTCCCAACACCATTTGTTGAAGAGTCCATCTTTTCTCCAGTGCATGTTTTTGATACCTTTGTCTAATATAAGATAATTGTAATTTTACGGGTTAGTCTCTGTGTCCTCTATTCTGTACCATTGGCCTACCAGTCTGTTTTGGTGCCAATACCATGCTGTTTTTGTTACTATTGCTCTGTAATATAGTTTAAGGTCTGGTATAGTGATGCTACCTACTTCACTCCTCCTGCTAAGGATTGCTTGAGCTATTCTGGGTCTCTTATTTTTCCAGATGAATTTCATGACTGCTTTCTCTATTTCTATGAGGAATGTCATTGAGATTTTGATCAGAATTGCATTAAATCTGTATAGTGCTTTTGGAAGAATTGATATATCATTTTGATAATATCAATTCTGCCTATCCAAGAGCAAGGTAGATCTTTTCATCTTCTAAGGTCTTCTTTGACTTCTTTAGGGTTCTGTAATTTTTATTATATAGATCTTTCACTCTTTTGTTAAGTTGATTCCAAAGTTTTTTTTTTTTTTTGAGGCTATTGTAAATGGATAGTTTTCCTCATTTCCCTTTCTGAGAATTTGTCACTGATGTACAGAAATGCCTTTGAATTATGGGAGTTGGGGAAAAGTATTTTCTCATCCCTGAGCCTTTCTTTGTTCCTCAGGGAAGAGTATCCCTGCTGGTATGGCACTGGCTCCTGCTGTGCTGAGAACTGTTCTCCCTCAACTCTGTGCTATTGGCCCCGGGGATGCCCAACTGCCCACCTCCTACCATCACCCCACCAGGAACCTCAGGCTTCATCTCCAGTGTACTCTACAAATAATATCACTCCTTATGTGATCATGTCATAAAAAATGTAGTAGCTGCTATATGTAAAACCCAGAATGAGTCTAATTCATGGATGATGATATCTGAATCATCTTATGATCTGACCTGGCATGATGGTATAACCTGCAGTGCCAGCTACTGGAAAGGCTGAGGTGGGAAGATCACTTTAACCCAGAAATCCAAAGATCGCATGGACAAAATAGTGAGATCCTGTCTCAAAAAACAAACAAACAAACAAAAAATCTGAATGTACCTATATTTCTGAACCTAAAATTGTTGGTGTTTTTTTAAGATTTTTATTAATTTTTAAATTACTAATAAGAGCATTTAAATTGTTATAAAACATTTTGATTCATATAGTAATAGTAACATGTACTTTAAAGCATGGATTCTTGTTCCCTTTTCATAACAGAAATATTAGCTTATTTCATCTGTTTATAAGATACTGATTACATTCCTTGCTTTCAATCACTCTCCTATGTAGTTTAAAAACTTCTTTTTCAAATAACCCTTTCACTGCATCATTGCTAAACTCAAAAGATTTAAAATGCCAACAACATTAAATCCATGTACTTTTATTCCAGCTTCACAAGGGACTCAAATTTAACTTAACCCACTTTATTTCCTTCTGCTGTTTAACAAACTATAGAGATTCATACATTTCTCCTGAGATATAAGCTTGGGGCTGAACTAAAAATGGGAACAGAGTCAAAAGTGCAATAGCAGAAAGGTTCCATTTAGTTTTATAGTCATAACTGTGGATTAATGAATGGATTAGAAACTGGGCTAAGTCAAAAAGCTAGTCAGAGATAAACAGGGAAAAATAAACCAGCCACTGGTATAATCCTTCCTGTTTGTATGAAACCTGGAAGCATGTTTAGCCCTCCTTATGACTGAATCTCAGATGTGGAATTAGCAAGACTATCTTCTAGAGAAAAGGATGTAGCAGAAGCAGCAGCAATCAGCCCCTGGAAAGGTGCTGCTCAGTCCAGGTAGCTCTTATGTCCAGCTCTGAGCTTCAGAGAATGGCAGGTGATAAGAACCAGAGATTTTAAATAGGAAACCTACTCTAGTCACATCATGCCAAAATGAACCGAAAACCTAAGCCCTTAAGGAACATATTCTATCTGGTTGTCTTTTTTAATATGGACCTATCTCCTCCCCCCACCCCAAATTCCTCTCTTTCAATAAGAACAAAGATTTAATTCTCTTATTTTAATTTAAATGACTCTGCCTTAAATTTCCCAAGAATATCTAATATAAGGTTAAGCACATAAAAGATTAACACATACTTAAACATTCATTGATAATGTATCTTAGTCCATTTTGGGATACTATAACAGAATATCTAAAACTGGGTAATCTATAAAGAACAGATTATTTTGCTTCTTATAGTCAGCAGGTTGGAAAGTCTAATATCAAGGTGTAGCATCTAGTGAGGTTACCACATTGCTCCATGATGGAAGGTAGAAGGGCAAGAGGCCAAGAGAGGGTCAAACCCACTTTTATAAGCTCACTTGTGATAAATAACCCAGACCCATGATAATGACATTAATATATTCATGAGGGCTTTTCACCACTTATTAGGCCTCACTTCCCAGCACTATTTCATTTGTGATTATGTTTTCTATATGTGAACTTTGAGAATCACATTCAAACCAGAGCATAGTATAAACCAAAAGTCACCTTTCAAGGAGAAGCACTGGATTCACAATAAAGTGTAATTATGTGGAAGGCAGGAATCACTCCTATTTAAAAAAAAAGTATAGTCTGGCTCAGAATTTTAAATTCTCCATTTCCTTTTCCATACTACAATGATCACATCAGGGGAAGCCTAAATTTTAGGTCCAAGTCATCACACCAAACCACCACCCATGGACTGTTTCTGAGGACCTCAGGACCGGTATGAACTAGAAATGAGTACATAATTAAGTATCATCCTTAAAAGTAATCATCTTAGGGATGGGGGTTTGCTCAGTGGAAGAGAATGTGCTCGCATGCTCAAGACCAAGGATTCAATCCCCAGCACCACAAAACAAACAAACAAAAGTAATAATCTCAAGTAGTTACACACATTGTTCATTCTTATTGTTATTATACCTAGTAGTTGGCTTTTATTTCAAAAGTTAATGAAAGGGTTTTTTTGATTACTTTAGTAGAGACACAAGCATCATGAGTCATTGAGAACCTGTATTGGGAAGGCAGTTCACAATAATCAGAACCCAGAGGCAGCCTGAGGAATGATCAGTATCCAGGTGGGCCATCAGACAAAGAGTAGGAATTTGGAGAAAGTCTACCACTAACCTCTGGCCAAAGTGGACAGTAAGTAGGCAGAGAAAGAAGATGGCATTAGAAAGTTTAGAAGCATGAGTAAGGCTACAACTGGATGTTTCTAGGGTTTCTCAACCTTAGCTCTAGCAATGTTGTGGGACAGATCACTCTTTGTCAAGAAAGTCTACCATATGATGACACTTAGCAGCATCTCTGGGCTCTACCCACCAGCTGCCAAGAAGGTAGGGCTTTACCTTGTGACAACCTCAAGTATTTCCATATACTACCAAACATTGGCTAGAGAAGACATCCACTAAAGGATAGAGGGAGAAACCTAATTGGCCAGCGCACAGACCCACACACAGGTCACGAAATGGACTGAGGCAACTTGCCAAGTGCGTGAAGACCACTTAGGCCCTCCTGGCATTATACAACAAAGCCTTAAAAATGAGCACAAACCTTGGCTAAGCAATTTCATTTTATAGATAGATAGATATAGATATAAATATAGATATAGATAGAGACATAGATAGATACAGATAGATGTTGATGGACCTTTTCTTAAATTTTTAATATTTATATGTGGTGCTGAGAAGCAAACCCAGGGCCTCACATGTGCTAGGCAAGTGCTCTACTCCTGAGCTACAACTCCAGCCCCAGTAATTTCATTTTTAAAAAATTTTATCCTCAGGCAATAATTACGGATTCTAAAAAGAGTTAGTTACAAAGCAAAATGTTTAATGCAGAGATGTTTTAAATCATGAAAATTCAAAAGCAAACTAAATGCCCAGCACTCGGTGCTCAGCTGGATAAACTGGACAACAGCCATACGATGGAATGTGTCACGAAGCCACTAAAAATGTTTCTGAAGTGGGTTGGGAATGTGGCTTAGTGGGAAAGCACTTGCCTAGCCTGAGCAAGGCCCTGGGCTCTATCTCTAGCACTGCACAAAAAGAAATGAAGGTCCTGAAGTATATTTAAAAATATGAAATGTTGCTCCTAATAATACTACAAATTAAAATGAGAACAGCAAGGCAGAAAACAGTATGAGCTCATTTCTACATTACACACACATATACTTGATGCACAAGAAAAAGTTTCAAAGGGTATATACCAAAGTAATATAAATCCAAGTAATGATAGGAGGATTATAGGGCTTTTTCCTCCTTAGAATTCATGTAAATTTCTCACATAATTGTGATTTTTAATCCTATGTATCTACAAATTCTAATTTTCTGCATAGCAGTCTCTTTTTAGTCATTAGATTTAAAAGAGACTAAAAATATATAGAAGATATTTTAAAACATTCATATAATCTTTGTACAGAAGTTTCTTGAGATTGCAATTATTGTATTATCTATTGTTCATTTCTTTAAGAACTAATCCTCTCATAATTAGCACAGGTAAAAACAAAGGCATTAAAGCCACACTGCCTGAGCTCAGAATGAGGCCCCACCACTTACTAGCCACAAGACCCTTGATATATTTATGATCTCTGAATCTCAGGTTCCTCATGTACAAATTAGCTGTAAGACTACCCCTGTGTTACAGGGTAGGCATAAGAATGAATTAGTCAGTATGTGTAAAGTGATTGGAGCATAGCCTAGCAAATTATATATGTTCAATAAAAATTAGCTGCTATAGGGACTGGGGTTGCGGCTCAGTGGAGAGTGCTTGCCATATATGTGTGAGACTCCAGGTTCAATCCTCAGCACCACATATAAATAAACAAATAAAGGTATTGTGTCCATCTACAACTAAAAAATATTTTTTAAAAATTAGCTGCTATTATTTGTTACTGGTATAACAGAAAAAAATAATTACTAAGGAAGATCTAATTATATTAATGACACAGAGAAATCCAGCATCATTCTTACAAAACTATAAGTGTTCACATCTGAGATAGCTCTGATGAGATTTTAAAGCAAAGGTACATCTGAACTATATCATGAAAACAACTGGGAACAAAAACTATAAATATCATACTCGTGTTTTTACTAAAAGACCATAGATTTGTACTACTGGTTTAAAAATATAAAAATTATGCATTCAATTACTTTATTCTAATATGGCTATGACATTATGATATATATATTTTGGCTTTTGACCACAGTTCCAAGCTCATACTCCCACAGAAGAGAATAATGCCAGGGCAGTTTAGTACTCGAAAGCAGGCTTCAGAAAGTCAAATCCATCCCCACACTGGGCCTTCTTCTGCCTTCCTTTCACCTGTTCCTTTTTTTCTAAGGCAAGCCATAGAAATTAAAATTTCTTTTCCTGAAAGCAGGTCACAGAAACTAAAAATATGTTCTAATTTTCCTTCACCTATCTGTCTTGGAGCTGGCCATAAAGAAATTCTCTGACCTAACTTGTCCAATAGCAGATGATAAGACCACCGTTTCAGAAGGGGTCCTGACCCATACCTGGGAAGAGTGAATGCTACATGGGAAAGTCAAGAATAATCTGAACAGAAGGGCCTTGCTAGGTTTCCCCAATCAGTCTGTGAGTGTTAGACCCTTTTTACCTGCTTACATTTCTTTGCAGTTGTCCATGTTTCAGTCATGTCTGTACAAAGACTCCATAAAACCCCAAGAGGACAGGGTTTGGAGGGCTTCTGGACAGCAGGAAGGTAAACAACAATGCAACCACATGCCGAAAGAGTGGTGCATCCCCACTTCAGGGCCATGGAAGCTCCTGTGCATGGGATTCTTCCAGACTGCATACTGCATTTCTTCATCTAGATGCTTATTTTAAAATCCTTTTAAATGGCCTTTATGATAAACTGGCACAGGTAAGTAAGTATCTTCCTGAGTTCTGTGAGCTTTTTTATTTCAGCCTGAAAAGGGAACCACAATATGTAGCTGATGGGTCATAAGTTCCAGAGGCTCAGCTTTAATGACTAGTGTCTGAAATAGGGCCAATCTTGTGGAACTGAGATCTCAACCTATGGGATCTGCTGCTCTCTCCAGGCAGACAGTGTCAGAGTTGAACAGGATCAAAAGATATGTTGCTGGGGTCCACAGAAGAACTCCTTGCTTGCTTGCTGGTGGGGAGAAGCCCTAACACTTTCTGAGATCAAAGAAATAATCTGTTGTGAGTCTGTGTCAGACTCAGAATGGCTACTCACAAAAGCAAGAAAGAGAAAAACTCTTATTACATTTACAAAAAAAAAAAATGATAAAACCAGTGGTTTTCAAACAGCAAATTATGACCTGTGGGTAGTAAAATCAAGTAAGTTGTATCCAGCACTTTTTGGTAAAACAAACACACACACACACACACACACACACACAAATCAAACAGAAATAACAGGGCATCACACACAGTACCAGAAAGAAATACTTCATTACATTTCTGCTGCAGGTAAAATACAAGCTTATGTGTCTCTTGGAATATGATATGCAATGTATTTCTGTGTGTCACAGTCAAAAATGTTGGTGAAACACTGGTCTATGTCTCTATGTAACATTTCATATTTTTTTTAATTTGGATAAATCTTATACTTATTTTGATTTTTAAATTTTTTCCCAGGGATTGAAGTCACAGGGGCTCTACAAGTGAGCTATATACCCATCCCTTTTTATTTTCTATTTTGAGAAAGGTTTTGCTAAGTTGCCCATGCTGACCTCAGATTTGCAATACTCCTGTCTTGTCCTCCCAAGTTGCTGGGGTTTGCTTTTATAAGTTTCATAATTCATATCACTAAAGCATATAATGGAAGGCAATATAAAATTATCTGAAATTTTATAGTCAATAACATTTTTATACTATTTCTTAGAGAGAGAGAGA